ACGGGTGATTTCTGTATCTCGACAACAGCGTCATCTACCGGATCCAATTGTGAATCCTTTAGATCATCCAGGGACCCACTTAAACACACAAAAAAATCATCAAAATCGGTCCAGCCGTTTTCGAGGTTTTGCGAAACTTAACGGACAGCAATTCATTTATGTAAGTATATAGAGAAGGAGGCAGCCCGTGTTCTGCCGGGAATTTTTTTTATAGACTGTAATAGATGGTCTCTTTTCTCATCATTGTCTATTTAAGAAAAAGGGTTATTCTCTTGCCAAAACAATTCTCAATATTTTCACTCTACACCGACCGACCACATGGTATTTATACATCTACATGATATACACTATACAAACCGGCAGATTGTATTTCGTCGGTATTCTCTACAACTTATGCAAGGTTACGTATGTGGTCCATCATATAATCTCGTTTCTTGGATGAAGTTGAAAGCCAAAACTAAAAAAATAGTTCAAATGGCCTTCAATAGATGGCGGTATAACCATTTTACTATCAGCTTAGAACTACTAAAAATAAGCCTCTCTCAAGGAACGATATTTTGCCTGACCTTAGCCTCCACGTTCACGCATCTAGTTGTGGCCAATATCCACTTGAGGGTGTATCTGCCACGCTTGGCACATGGATCGGTAATTGCAGCGTTAATGCCCGGCCCACTACAACGGCTTATGGTACCTCCGTATCAGGTATGAAATAACTAGAACGAAGTTCCATATCGGACGGTAATATAATACGTTTATCAATAATAAGGAACTTCGTTCCAACCGAGTGTTCCACGACACTCACACGTTTTTTTTTTAATTAAAAATTTTGTACAGCCTACTTCAATATAAATTATTAAGAATAACTCAAAAACAATTGGTCAGACCTAGATCAAGTTTATATGGGACTAGATGAGAAACACCAGCTTTCAAATGAAAAAATAATCATCAAAATCGGTACATCCAGTCCAAAAGTTATGAGGTAACACACATAAAAAATAACATACAGTCGAATTGAGTACCGTCTCCTTTTTGAAGTCGGTAAAAAATACACGGCACTCACTGCTACGCCCACAAGAATGTATATAACATCCGTATACAACGCGTTTAGCGAACGTAGACATCGTAACATCGCCTATGTTATGATGTCCATTCTATAGGTTGTAGCTAATTTCGTTGTTTTTTTTAAACACTAAAGTGTGAAACGAACGGTGCACCTAATGGTAAAGTCAAATATTTTTATTAAAAGTTGGCTTTTACAAGCCCTTTTTGAAAGTCCAGCTTGCTTAACAAGTCCCTGCTGCGTAGACATTGAGAGAAGAAGCGAGAAGAAACTCACAAGTAGACTATTTTCCTCCCAACAGAAGTATTCTATCCACACATTCTTATCATTTAGACATTTATTTTATAATATCCTTTTTATGGATGCTTTTTTATGGAGTGTGTATTTTGAAACGACAAGTTTAAATATACTGTGCGTGTTAAAATTATAGGCATCTTGATAGGCATCGCACATTTTGTCAAAGGTATTAAAATAGTCACAAAAACAATATTGTCCTAAAATGAATTGTGACGCAACAGTTAAGATGTTTGTTTCTTTAAAAAGGTCTCTGAAAAAGGTTTAACGTTGTAAACAGCACTCTTTTCTGTAGTATTAATATATATTTTAATATTGGTTGCTTATCCACACGACAATAACTCATAGGACAACACTGTGGAAATAAATAAATCAATCTTGCAGTTACATCTGTTAACAGCCTTATCTATTATAGAACATAATTTATCATAACAAGAATTAGTTTCACCAGTTACCATATGCACGTTAATTTATTTAAACGTAAATAAAATAATTTCTTCTATTACTTCCCGTTCTGGCAACCCTAGCAATTTATTGTTTATGTCGGCTTTTCCGACAACATCAAACGCGATGACTGACTGTGTGTTCTTTTTAAGCTGTAACTATGTCTTATTGACAAGGCCTCAATTGCGTTGTAATTGGCTACTGCAGCCAATGTACACCAGCAGCAAACTTCAAACAAAGAATGTTACAGATGCGTTGTCGTCTATGTCGACTAAGATGGAATGCCACACAGACTTGAATCATACTTGCTCATAACACCCTTGATACCGTAAACACTGCGGTGCATTATTTCTTCGGTTCGGTTCGGGCCAATATGTTGCACGTAGGTTTGCGCGCTGTACTGTAGAAGTAAAGGCTACGTTGTTCAGAGCATTCCGCCAATCATTCTACACGTGCAGCATATGGGTCAAGTACACAAAAAAATCTTACGACGCCCTACGCATTCTATACAATAGACAAAGACAAAAAGACAGAAAAGAAGAGAAGAAGAAAAGAAATTTATGGATGATAATAACCCCTGGAAATGAGGTGATCGCTACCAAGCTATTTCTAATTTGTTGTATTGTTAATTTGTGTAACATACATGATTGTAAGCTGTTATTTAAAAAAAAGTCCCGCTGGGTTTCTTGCTGGTTCTTCCCAAGACAGGTATTTTTTTCGAACCAGTTGTAATTAAACAAAAGAGTGACTTTAAATAAGTATTATTTATAATCTATATTGAATAAAAAAGTTTGTTTCTGTTTCTGAAGTGCTACTATCTATTAAAAATAAAAAACATTTATAAATAATATCAATAAATTTATATAATAATAGGTATTTAACCTGCTTGCTAATACAAGATTACCGTAAAAAAAATTTGCAATGATTACTGATATATTGGACAATGCTGACTATGGTCAGGTCTTCAACTTTGTAATGTCAGTGTTTTATTCAATAAATAAATTTATTTTTATTATAATACACGTGGTAGAGAAACGCTGCAGCTATATTATGGTTGTACTACAAATAGATCAACTCGACTGGGGTAGAACCACGCTCCACAGAACATCCGCGTAAAATAGCAGCTTAATGCTGCTATTTTCCGTATGGCGAGTGTAGATAACCAGAGACCCTTTTTACGGAAACGACGCATCTCATCTTAGTCCTCAGGAATGATAACGCTACTGCATTTTAATTCTTAATCGAGGACAGATGTACCTAGATGTTTATGAGCCATAGCATCCACTTACTATCAGGTGGACTGTGTGCTCATTTGTCACCCTTATTCTATAAAGAAATGAAGTTACAACACGTTTGGTTGCCTGCATCCGTATGAAGAATAGAATTTGCCTTAATCGTCACCCTTGGCATCCAGATTAACAATCGCACTACTAGAAGTGTCGTAACCTTTGAAACAATATAAGGGTACTCTGTGCTTTGAAACTACTGCCCGTTACTGATGTGGGTATTTTTATTTTTTAAGTCTGTCGTAATCGATATAGTATACCGCCATCTATCGGAAGCAATGTGAGTTTTTTCTCGCATTTCTCTTAGTTGGCTTCCCAAGACAGGGATGGAATGGGATGTAGATTTTTTATATATTTAAATAAATCTAAATAACAGAAGCCATAAAAATTTACTAGAAACTTCCTTAATTGCCTTTTACGGCACCTTTTTTATCAATCATAGTCAGTGTTGAAATACAATTAGGCCAATTATTTTAATAAACATTTATTGTTTAATACGTTCTTTTACAATGTTTCATATAAGTGACATATATAGATAGCCTAGTCATCTACCGAACAATTGTAAAACACCAAACCATAAAATCACATCTCAGTACTTTGTTGTACATTACACAAATAACTCATTTTCACTTATGAATGTATTCAATTTTAATGGCTCTACACAAATCATCCAACGTAGTTAGGTCGAGTTAGCTCCGTGTCGGCTGTGGTAACGATAAAATGACACTGTATAAATGCTAGCTCGCATGAATCCAGCTCCCTACACATAAATTGTTTTATTTCAATGTATAATTTTCATCACTAAAAGTTTTAAATCAGTTTTTTTATTTATTTATCGTCGTCATAATGCTGTCACTACATAATTGTCTAGCTCCAAACACCAACAATAGGCAGAAGTGCCTATTGTGCCATAATTGTATTTAATGCTAGGGCTTCAGCTACCTACTAATAAAACAACGTGATATGTAGTGGGGCGATTTTTAACGAACTCTGTCAAACTCCTTTAACGTGATGTCGATTTACAGTAAAAACAGCAGTCGCAGTATAACTCGGCAGAGCTACTAACCATCGATTTATTTGAGGCTTGGGCGATCTATGCAGTGCCAGCATAATACGTAAACTATAGTGTATTACTAGGGTTGCAACAACACGTTTTCATTGCGTATAGAATCGATAAAGATTACGATGCACGTAATGTCAAAACACGTTTTTGCGTGCAATGTAATTTTTTTTTAAATTTTTAGTTTTTTACTTTATTTAATATATTGTAGTAATGAGTGCATCCACAACTTTTTCCGCCACCAGAGCGGCGTCACTTAGGAATGAGGTGAAATATTTAATAGATTTCTCTGTGGGGAAAGTTAATTTCTTGCAAAAATGTAAAGATTCATGTGTCTTTCTGAAATTATATTTTTAATTAATTTAATTAGAAATGGATAAACCAAACTTCGGATATTCCTAAAAAAAAAAATAATTAAAAACAAAGTTAAATATGTGTAAAAAAATTAAAAAATACAAAAATACGACTTTGTTTTGTGTATTAATATAGTACTATAAAAACCGATAAACTTTTATTAAAAACTAAATTGTCAATTAAATGACATTTTGTAACAAGAAATGTCACCTCGGTCCCAACTAGCGACATCTGGTGAGCTGAAGATTACTAGCCCTCATTAGTATAATACTAGCTAAACAGGTTAAAAAAAGAAAAATAATTACACAAACTTTATTCCCACAAAAGCGATCCTGTGAAATTAAAAACATTATCTAACAAGGAATATTGAATACTTTCTTCTTTTATAGTATTACATTATAATAATTGAATATAGTTAATTAATTTCACTGGGACTTATTTACTCCACACCCATGGTAAACAGTTCCGGGGATGTTATTCCCTCCAATCATTTTTCAAATACCTATTGGCCCCTTGAGACTATAATCACAGCAGAAGGCACCAGACCTGAAAAAATAAAAAATTGTCAATTATATGCAGTGCAATTTTTTTAAGTGGAAACTTCTTTAGCATCGTTGTGATTTAAAACAAATGAAACGAAAAAGCGACAAATATATAAATCAGTGTAAAATTATTTACAAATGGCTTTACACTGATTTATATATTTGTTGGCTTTCAAATATAATGAAATATATTCGACACTAGTTGGCGACACTTTGTGTCATGTGAACTAAAAATATAAAGGTCCGTAGAGCTTAGTATTGGTAAAATAAACATACGAAGGTGCTGAAATTTGTTTTGCATTCAGATATAAAGTAATTTTAATCGCAAAATATTATTTTATAGTTTATAATCATTATGTGAACAGGCCGTATTCTATCGTCAAGTAAACCTCATAAAGATAACAAAAAGACATTGCCGTAATTAGAATTCAATTATTTTATTCACTAATCCAACTTTCAATATTAAAATGAAGGAAATTGTACTTAGGCTGATTTTCACGAAATGTTTAAGTTATATTTAAGTGACATTCTATATGCAAAGAATCACTTAAATACAATTTAATGTTCTTAGATTGGCATTCAAAAAGTGCATTCGGATGCCTAATTTGGAATAAAATATTTATATTTTAATTGATTTGTAAATAAAATTATATTAATTATAATAATATGTCTATTATTTGTTCTCCCTCAGAGATATTAAGTAGTATAACCCACAGATAAATAATAGTCCAGCCGTTTCTGCGTGAAAAAATTACACATACACAGTACATACTTAGTGTGGAATAAGCTCAAGGAGACAGAAAGAACACACAAAATTTCGCCTTTATAATATTAGTGAGATAAATAGGATATTTAGTTCCAAATTAAATATCCTACTTAATATTGAACATAGAATATTTAGTTTCAAAGAGACTTTATTTTATGGATAAAATAAATATTTTTTGAAGGTTGACTTTCACGAAATGATAAACATATTTAAATTGTATTTAAGTGATTCTTTGCATATAGAATGTCAGTTAAATATAACTTAAACATTTTGTAAAAATCAGCCAAGTACAATTTCCTTCATTTTAATATTGAATGTTGGGTTACTGGGTAAAATAATTGAATTCTAATTGCGGCCCTGTCTTTTTGTAATTTTTTATGAGGTTTACTTGACAATAGATGGCGGCCTGTTCCCAAAATTATTATGAAAACTATAAAAATATATATTTTGGCGATTAAAATTTCTTTGTCTGAATGTATTTGCTTCATGAGATAGACGCTCCGATGCTATGGATGGCATCACATTTCATTTGTAAGTAATTTTACACCTAATTTATTAAAACAGTTCTAGAAAAATCTCTTTGCGTCGGCTTTCAAATATAATGAAATATATTCCACACTAGATGGCGACACTTTGTGTCCTGTGAACTAAAAATATAAAGGTACCTAGAGCTCAGTAATGATAAAATAATCATACGAAGGTGCTAAAATTTGTTTTGCATTCAGACATAAAGAAATTTTATTCGCCAAAATATTTTTTTTAGTTTATAACATTTTGTGGATATGCCGCCATCTACCGTCAAGGTAGCTAAGCTACATTGCAACATTGATATGGAAAGATTCGAGTAGTTTTACTATTTATCGGTAGATATAGATAGTTTAGTGGGCGGAGCTTTGCATCCCCTCACCCCGCAAATTGTCACGCGTTGTTTCATAGTGAAATTGAATTACAACGTCTCCTCTTTGTATTTGCTTCATGGAGCCGACCCCAATATAGTTGGGAAAAAGGCTAGACAGATGATGAATCGTACATAATATATTATATAGAACCCATACAGAAAAAAAAAACATTTTTTCATTCACGCCTTCTAGTGTTCAATCTTCGTAAACGTAGGTACTAGGGACTAGGAATTCAGCCACGTCTGTGTGTGTAAACGACACTATATTCAATGACAGATGTTATTTTAGTGCTTTGTGTCGAATTGTGTGGATTTTAAGGCAATGATAAGACCTAGTACAATAAAGTATAATGTTGTATAGTATAATGTACCCGAGAGTCCGAGAGCTACTTCTACGACGTAATAATGTTCCAATTACACAAAATCCTAAATAAACTAAAAAATGATGACTTCAGCGCCATCTCGCGGGAATATGGCCGAGAGCAGACCGCATGTTTCACCAGTCAATTAAGCTCTAATGTCCCTATTAGTGACACGCCTGCCCCACCCACTTTGGACTTCTACTTGTTTTTTATATTCCGTGGTATAAACCATAAATAAAAATTTAATTTATACCCTTTACGTGGTTATAGTAAATCCATAAATTAATTATACTTTTTAAATACATACCCAATGATTCTAAAGGCTTCTCATAGTCGTCACTAGTAAATACCTTCTTTGGGAAGGTTGTCATCAGTTTGAAGTTATCTTGTTGAGCAAACTCTTGGGCGTGCATTTGTAGGTATAATCTGAAAAGTATTTTTAGTTCATTCAGTGTTATTATAATGCATTTTAAATGTATAATTCCAAAATACTCAAACGCTGCTCAATTTTAGGATACCAATTCTCGTACTGTCTCTATCACTTTAAGTTAAAGTGACTGTGACACCACGAGACTTAACAACATCTTAAAATTGAGTAGCATTTGAGTATTTAGCCATAAGTGTTATTGGTAGAATAGGATAGCTTTTATCTGCGAGATATTTTTTTGCTAATTACTAATTTAGTTATTTATTACCAGCCTTATGGCAAAACAACAGAAACAGTGATAATCCCTGGTAAGGACAATAACCGAACTGATTCCACAAGTGTTCCATTTTGCTGAATTTGGTCTTTTTACACTTAACCATTAGTATATTATTTTTCATTTCTTTATTTAGTAACAGTCATTAGCCATTACAAAGGTTTTGATTATGTTGAGTTATTCTTATCCTACACATTATCGACACCCACATACATACACAATTTTAATGTTAAGATTTTCATTTAATTTTAATACTTAAATCTTACTTAAATAAATTATATGTGTACTTTAATCTTAAATTACCTTCGTGGCTTAAAGCCTTATGAGGCATAGATTGCCTCATAAGGCTTTAATTCCTTTTAAGGGGAGGCCTATATTCATCAGGGGACTTTAATAGGCTGTAACGGTAACGGACTTCTAATGTCGAATAGTGTGTAGGCTATATATAGATGAGAATAGGTAGAATACCTGACGGCGGCTAGCTGTTCCTTGGCGCCGAAGGTGTGTGCGAGGGAGTTGCCGTCGGGCAGCCGTAGCTGTATGCGCGCCTGCTCGTACGCCACCGCGGGCCCGGCGGGGGCTGCGGGGGCGGCGGGGGGCGCGGCCGCCGGCGCCGGCGCCGGAGCCTCCGTGCGGCCCAGCGCCGCTAACCTAACGATAAAGTTATCATTACATTACATTTCTCAGAATACCAGCGTCAAAATATGCACAGTCTCTCCATCACAATGACTGGATAAAACCGGCCACAGGCGAGCGTGTGCCTGCTGTACTACCATATGTCAGAGGAGTCACAGACAAGATTGGCTAAATCTTGAAGCGGGCTTCCATAAGAACATATTACAGATTTTAACTGAAGAAGATTATTCAGTTTTTACCATTCGTCAAGAAATCCCTTTACAAGATGCAGAAGTGTACAAGGTCCATTCTGAATGTGGTCTCTTACATAGGACAAACCTAAAGATCCATAAAAACCTGCGTGAAAGAACATCGCTGAAGTGAAGCACCAACGCTCCAGAAAGTCTGCAGTATGTCAACATGTTCAAGATCGTTCCAATCATTATAATATCAAATTTGATAGACGACAAATCCTCGCAAAAGAACATCAATTCTTACCAAAGATGATTCGCGGGGCGATTGAAATTTAAAAACACCCTAATTTCAATAGAGAAGATGACTGGGTGTTACCATCTGCTTGGGATCCCATAATTAATAAAATTAAAACCAAACCCAAGCCTAGTATTGCAAGACTTTTAGATACCGTAAGCTAGTTCTGCGTAGATCGGACCAAAAATTAATAACTATCAGTTGAAGGAAGCCTTAGTTAACTGTGACATAAGAACGTCAAACACCTCAGTCCCCCCGTGACACCATGGGCACTGGAAAGTGCCAGAAACATCAGGAATTAAAAAAGTTAAAAATAAACACGATAAAATCTGTAAAATTAGTTTCCCTCGACCCTTTTTACTGGAAACGGGACAGTCTATCTTAGTCCTGAGGGGTGACATCGCATCTCATTTTGATTTATTGAGAATAGATGTAGATGTCTATGGGCCACAGCATCCACTTACCATCAGCTGGACTGTTTGCTTGTTTGTCGCCCTTATTCTATATAAAAAAAAATTTATATTATACTAGTTGTCATTACATTTTAAGTGTGTTTATAAAGCAAGCTGTATTTCACTTTTAACTCTCAATATACTCATATATAGAGCGGCGGTGCTAAAGTGCAGCCGGTGGGCTTGTAATGAGATACAATTATGATGATGATAGTAGGATAACATACTTTCGGGCTTGTTTATCAGCTTCAATTTGGGCTCGGACCCTCTCTCTTGCCTTCTGGTCTTCGATCTTTTCGCGGCGCCTCTGTTCTACCAATTTCTGCATTTCCTGCTCTTGCAGCCTCTGGCGGGCATCCTGCAGATCTTTACCCGATTTGATTCGAAGACGCTCTCGCTCTAAAGCTTCAGCCTATAAGGTAATGGTTTTTAAATGAGTACAAATAACCTCTTAAGTGTGTTCAATTAAATAAAAAATGTGTTCAGGTGCAAATCGGTCTGCCTCTATTATCAACATCCTTTTAGATTACTGAATGATGATATTGAAGTTCTTATAAAAAATGAAGTGCAGAAAGGATTTAAAAGATAATGAGATTTCAGGTTAAGAATCAGTTGAAAGTGAATTTAATCAGGTATTCATTAATTATTAAAGAGGTAGACTTCACTTAGTAGTAGTAATATTTTTTTATTTAATCTTTATTGTGGTACACCTTAATCTAAGGATTACATGGGCGGATTTAATGCCTTATGGCAATCTCTACCAGTTAACCCTGGGGGAATTTGAGAAGTTGGTAGGTATTAAAAAATGTTAAAATGAGTAGAAATTGTACATAAACATTAAAAAATATTTGCATATAATAATATATAATATACTAGCTGGCCAGGCAGACGTTGTTCTGCCCTTTCTGATGACTCTTCCTATAAAAAATTCTTAAATTCGTAATAATTTTTTTTGAGTTGGACCAAACTATATAAAGATATATAATAATAGGTTGGGCAAAAAGCTTCGTCGTATTTTGTTAGTATAAAATTGAAGAAAAATTTCTTTGTTTGTACTGTTTGTATCTGGATGGTTTTAATATCAATAAATATAGGATATTAAGAAAAAGAAAAATAAAAAGTAAAATACACTTTCGTGTCATTTTTCAATAGTTTTTCTGACCACCAAAATTAATCTAACAAAGAAATTTGATACATTCAATAGTTTTATTCAAAAAGGGAAAAATACGACACATGCCGCGAAAAAAATGAGTGACGTTTATGGACCTAATGCAGTGTTGGTAAGAGTAGCACAAAGTTGGTTCAAGCATTTTCAGTCCGGGAATTTTGATGTCAAAGGTGCAGCTTGCTCTGGTCGCCCTCATAGGGATAAAGTCGATGCCAATTTTGAATAAGTGGAGCAAGGTCGGCTACATTACAGTTTTGACACATTTGAAAAGGTCTGGCTATACAAAAAAACACGATATTTGGGTACCATACAATCTCACTGAAAGAAATCTAATAAATTGAATAAAACTACTTTTACGGATTTTATCACGTTTAATTAAGTTATTTTATATTCCCGACGTTTCGGTTCGACTTTTACAGCCGGGCAAACCGTCAAATCCAATCTCTACTGCCAACAACTAATGAGAGTCAAGCAAGAAATTGAAAAATAATGGCCGGAATTGATCAACAGAAAAGGAGTGGTCTTTCATTTTTTTTTATAGGATAAGGGTGACAAACGTGCACACAGTCCACCTGATGGTAAGTGGTTGCTGCGGCCCATAGACATCTACATCTATCCTCTATTACAAATCAAAATGTTGATGCGTTGTCACCCGTGAGGACTAAGATGGAATGCCTCATTTCCAGTAAAAAGGGCCTCCGGTCACCTGCACTCACCAAGCGAAACGCAGAGGTAAATCTCTACTTCACGCTGGTTTTCTGTGAGGTTGTGGTACCACCCCGGTTAGAGCCGGCCTATCCGTGCGACCGCTAAAACTGCCACGTGGCTCTACCACTGTTAAAATTATGATAATGCCAGACCACATACATCTTTGGCTACTCAGCAAAAATTAAGGGAGCTTGGTTGAGAAGTGTTATGCATCCATCATAAAGTCCTGACCTTGCACTCCGATTTTCACCTGTTTCGGTCTCTTCAGTTCTTTGGGTAGTGTTAGGTTAACATCAAAAAAGGACTGTCCAAACTACCTATTTGTTGCAGTTTTTTGACCTTCAAGATAGCAACAAGTTATCAAACAAAATTTCACATATATATATTGTAATTAAATGTAATTGAAATTAGAAAAAAAATGTCTTGAATTTGTATATAAAATACGAAGAAACTTTTTCCTCGACCTTATATGTAACAAACATTGCCTATAGCTTGTAGTAGACTGCTGCAGGCTGATGATAATGATTGTAGGTTACAATTTAATGCAATATACATATACATTAACCTCGTAAGGCCCAAGACAAAAATAGGATGCAACCAAATACCGCCCAATGTTCTCGGTGGAGAACTTAATAAACATAACGCTTACCGCCCAGACCGAAACGAGTTCATTAGAAAGATTTCTAGGAAAGGTAGAACTAAACACTTTATGTGCCTCATATATAACACCCCTTTGAGCATATTTTTAGAACTTTTAAGGCGATTATTTTTGTTCTCATGTGAAGACATCGGGTCGTTATTGCATTTTACCTAAAGTTTTATTTGTGATCAGATGATGACATTGGTTTTAAGTGTAATAAATAAAAAATATAAAAAATTTCAACATTATACTTCTTTTACTCCTTATTTAACATAATAAACTTAAAGCGTGCAGCAGCTGGAATTCTGTTCTTCATGATAGTGCCTGTGCAACTAACTCCTCTCTTTAGAAGTTCATTTGCCAGTTTTATTGAGGTGCAGTATCGGTCGAAGTAAAGTATGTGTCCTGGGACAAGTGTATTAGCTAAAGTGATTACAGCTTTCTCTCCCAATCCATGGTTTGAATCTTCTAACTCTTTGTAAGGGGTTGACCTTTGATAGATATGAAAATCTGTCACTATTTCACTGGGATTTGCAAGAATAAAGGCTTTCATACGAACTGGGTTTGGTTTACCGGGGCAATATTGTTTAATTCCACATGTAAAGGCACTATCATTTCGTCAAGAGACATGTCTTTTTCTTTTTCTTATACCCTACATCCTTTTTTAATTCGCTGTGTCAAAGGTCTGATTTTCCATAACTTATCTTCCGCACGTTCAGCTTGACTAACATTGTCATCAATTACAAATTTGATAGAGTTTCTTTGATTTCTATAAATCTGTAACGGGACATATTATCCGCAATTATCGCCATTCTCCATTTACTTTCCCAGTACATTCTTATTACTGGATAGTTTACAGAATCCATAACGAACGTAATCCCGATGTACACGTAAAAATCGTTCATATCTAAATTCATGCTTCTTCTATGCAATTTTACTGAAGTTTGGTTTGTTCTTTCAACAAGTAACTGTATAAACTTATCATCTATATATTTTTCAAAATATGTAACTTTTTCAAAAAAAAAGTGGTAAATAAGTCAGCTGCGATAATTTCATTTCTTTCGGTGAGAATAGTTACTCAGACCAACCAGGTAGTGAAGTTTTAGTTACTGGCAGAGGAAGTTATATTACTGCTACGACCACGATTATTTCCACGAGTAAAGCCACGACGAGCACGTGATGGAGTTTGCTGTACTATTCTTTCTTCGTGGATTGTTTCTGGCTCTGATCTTTCAGAATCACTCAAACTAGATAAATGATCTAACTCAAGTCTAAAAGGTGGGTCATGGTCATCCAAATCTTCATCACTAGGTGCGAAGTCTTCAATCTCCAATTCGTTTAAGAATTTAGAAACATCTCCATCACGCAAAACTATAATATATAGAAATAAGTACTATAAAAACAAAATTCTTCAATTTTCTGAAAAACGATTACTTAACTGATTAACACCCAATGACCTCACATAATACCAAATAAAAAATGACTGTAATTGTAACTACCGCCCCGTGTGATTGTTCAATCACATATTTTTTTAAATCAAAATGATTTTTTATGCACAGCAGTATATGGAAAAATAATACAATATTTATGAAAAACAAAATCTAAATTTCATGATTATAAATGATTTGTTGGAAAAATAAACGGATTTATTAAATAAATCAAGATCAAAACTCACCATGACGATGCGTGTACTCCATGTTGGCTCAATTCAGTTTAAAATGAAGAGCAATCTGTGGTTGATTGCCTACTTGATCTTGATCTAAATGTTGCTAGCAAAAGGACCAATCAATGACGTCTAATAAGAAATACAATACCCGCGAATTTTTTAATCTAGGAACAAAAATATAATTTGTCCTCAGTGGATGACGGTGGGCGGTAATTTTGATGACAATATTTTTCGTATTGGGCCGAAACGCATAAATTATTAAGTACTTCTCTGATCTCATTGGGCCTTACGAGGTTAAATTTAATAAAAACAAACAGGTCACCATGCTAGATGATAGACTGGTAAAGAATGCCTCAAATATTGAGTAGAAGGCTGCTTATACATAATTTTTGTGTAACTATATATGTATAAATATTTAAATAAATAAGTAAAATATAATTTAAAATACCTTTTCTTTTTCTTCTCTCTCCTTTCTCTTCTGCTTCATTCGCTCCTCCAGCAATGCTAGCTGAGCTTTTTTCTCTTCTTCAGTTAAAGGCTTCTTCTCTTCAGTGGATTCCGAAAAGCTGCTGTGATTGGTCTTAGCCGCATGAAATTCCATCTCGTCCTGATTTTTGAATAGCTTTCCACACTCATCACATTTGAATGACTTCGCAACTTCTGAACTTTCTGTGTTCGGTTCAGTAGGTGCAGGAGTAACTTCAATATTCGTGCTGGAGTTTCCTCCTAATGTTTGACCAGGCCCCACAGCAGGCACATCGGGCTCATCAGCATGTGCCAATAACCATTCCATAGCAGGTTCCACACCTTTGTAATTTGTGACTGCTAAGGCTTTTTCCCTGAAAACATTAATATTGTGAGATAACCTTCAATTATTTAAGTTTTATTTTTATAAAATTTCGCACTTACGCTCGTTCTTTGGGGAAGCCCATTTCTATAAGTGTTTGAATTTCCGCCATTCTATTTTATACCGTATACCTTTGTTTTGTGTTGAACTACAATTGAAAAATTGAAAATTCACTCTTCATCGCATCAGCTGTTTTGGTCCAGTATTATTTTATTTATATTTATGGCAACATAAAATATTTTTTCATTTATGCATTGGCTACGAGGTCTTCAGCCCAAAACAAGACATAATATTATTTATTTTTTGAAATTATTTTTCACGTGATATGATATTGGCTGTAGCGGTAGGCGTTTTTGATATCCATAAACAGAAACAACGTGGTAGAGTCACGCTGCAGCTATATTAAGGTTGTAGCACGAATGAGTCGGCTCGACCGGGGTAGGACCACGCTCTCACAGAATACCAGCCTAAAATAACAGCTTAATGCTGCTTTGTTTCGTATGGTGAGTGTAAAAACAGGAGACCCTTTGTACTGAAAATGAGGCATTCCGTCTTAGTCCTCAGGGGTGACAACGCATCTGCATTTTGATTCTTAATCGAGGATAAATGTAGATGCCTATAGGCCACAGCATCCATTTACCATCACGTGGACTGTGTGCTCGTTGCTCACCCACATTCTATAAAAAAAAAAGATAAAACAACACAAGTTATTTGGTTCCGTTTGCCTACTCTGAATAATCACTGAATTGAAAGTCTTAAAAGCTCTACAACTATATATTTCGGAAAAATTTCCGCCTTCGGAAGAACCAGCAAGAAGTCCAGTGGGACTTTTTAAATTATTAATTTAAATTTAAATATTTTATATAGGTAATTGAGTACGAAAACATTTTAAAAACAACGTGGTAGCGATCACCTCATTTCCAGGGGTTATTATCAATCACGTACTCTTTAAGAAGGTATCATCATCATCAACATTACAGCCCTTCACAAGTTCACTGTTGAACATAGGCTTCCCCCAAGGAATGTCACAAAGCACGGTCCTAAGCCACCTGCCTTCATCGAATTCCTGCATATCTCACCGGGTTGTCACTCCTTCTAGTGGGGCGTCGCCCTACACTTCTCCTACCGATATGAGGCTGCCACTCGAGAACCTTTTTTGCCCATCGGTTGTCGGTTCTTTGAGCTATATGACCGGCCCATTGCCACTACATATTACTAATCGGTTGGGTTATATCGGTAATTCTAGTTCTACCGCGGATATCCTCAATTCTAAGTTTATCACACAGAGAAACCTCGAGCTTAGCCCTCTCAATAGTTTGCTGAGTGACCTTGAGCGTTCTCATACGGCCAGCAGCGAAGGACCACTCAGATCCATAAGTCACTATTGGCAACACCCACGCAGCCGAGTTGAATCCGCCGATTGACCTGTCGGTCGAAGTTGGACTTACCTAGTCGGATTATTTGTCCCAGATAAACATACTCGTCAACAAATTCAAGCTTAGTACTAGGCATAGGTGTGACATGGACATTACACATGATCTTTGTTTTGTCCATGTTCATCTTAAGACCTATCCGTTGAGAGACATTATTGAGGTCATTGAGCATAATGCTTAGGTCCTCCAGCGATTCTGCCATAAGGACTATATCGTCAGCAAATCGAATGTGAGTGTTGTACTCGCCATATGTTAATACCGTATCCTTTCCAGTTCAGTAGCTTAAAAACGTCATCCAATGCAGAAAGAGTTTCAGGGATATAACGTCACCCCCGTCTTAAATCTTTCTGCAGTTAGATAGGTTTCGTACTCTGATTCTGTATTTGGATAGCCATCGTAGCCTTACTGTACAAACATTCAGACTTCGCTATACCGACAGTCAACTTGACACCGCTGAAGAGACTGTAGCATCGCCCAAATTTATACGGAATCAAAGGCTTTCTCATAATGCAAGGTAAAGTGGCAAATTATACTCTTCGGTCTTCTGTACAATTTGCCGAAGGGTATGTATGTGTTCTATGGTACTAAAACTTTTTCGGAAACCGGCTTGTTCGGGAGGCTGGAAATCGTCGAGTCTGCATGCGAGACGATTCGTAATGACTCTTGAAATCAGCACGTAGATGCGGCTCAGAAGGGAAATCGGTCTGAGTTCTTCAAGAGAGCGTTGTCGCCTTTCTTGAAAAACAACGGCGGTGGCACTTCTGCTCCACGCCTCCGGAGTAGTCCCACCATGGAGGATAGAATTAAAGATCTTCTTAAGGATTTCAAGTACCGGCTTTCCACCCGTTTTCAGAAGATCCGCTTTAATTCCATTCTTGCCTGGGGCATTGCCGTTTTTAAGTTATCGCTCAGACTGGTGTCCGGGATATCATCGGAATAGTGTCGGATAAGACTTGCTCTTGGATCACCGCTCATACTTGCGTGTGGCTCAAACGATGACGTGTACGGCCGCCCGAACTGCTAGAACTCTCAATCTCACTCAAAATCTCAGGTGCCTCGGAAACAATGCTGCCAAATTCGGTCTTCAGTTTCGACAGTAGACTCTTTCTGGCAGATATATATCTGGCAAAGACTTTGAAGTCTTGGTTCCGCTCAATCGCTTCTTCAATACGAACTGTGCCTGTTCAGTTGCCTCTATGCTGTCAAATCTGCTGTCAAATTTGCAGTCTTCTAGGCACTGAAAACGGTTTTGTATCTCGAACTGAAGGTTTCAGGGCTTTGGGTTAGAGCACGAGAGAGAAGGAGCGTTGACTTCATTAGACGGGACCTCTCCAACTTAACCGTTGGTGTTCAACCAGGTCCACCTCCTGTGATGCCACTTCTGGAATAAAGAGTTCATCATAAAGTGTCCCCCTTTCTCTATGAAGTCGGCCAGCTGCTTGCCCCTTAGGTTCCGTTGCCCTATTCCGAATTTCCATACCTTCAGCTCACCGTTCTCTCTTGTACCTAGTTTTGCATTGAAGTCTCCCATTAACACCGTATAGTGGGTTTTGGAGGAATGCATGCCTTTCGAGATATCGTTTCAACGAAGAACGAAGCGCTACATATGCTGTAAGACCGGCTGTGCAACATTGTACGTAACTCTGTATTACAAAATAATCTATGTACTTATCAAATAACCATAGATTACTGTGTATAGTATAACGGTGACATTGATTGTCTTAATTGATGGTTTGAAGTTTTTGAAAGAAAAAATATTATTAGGAGAAATTTAGAAATATGATTTCACAAAAAAGACAAAGGCGAAAGAGCATACAGAACAGTGACCCTGGGAAAATCATGGATTTGGTTATGAATTTAACAGATGATAAGTGTGCTCAGCTGCAAATAAAAATTAATACATACGTAATTAAAGACATAATTGATTATAAATATGTATTAAATATATTTTATCTAAGTATGTCCGTATTGCGGGCAAGTGGGATGGAGTTAATTTATTATAATAACATTTAAACCTTAAAAATTGCATCGGTATCACAGGGATATGGGGGCTACGTCCCAATTACGTATCAGTCTTAGTAATAACATTATCTTTTTTACATCTTCTATACACGCACTAATCTGTGCCATACATCCCAATTAAATGTCAGTCTTAGTAATAATATTGTCTTTCTTCATCTTCTATACACTCACTAATCTGTGTGTGTATGTAAGTCTCGAAATAGGACATGAAAATGAATCTGTCTCACATTTCACAAATAAGTTTCAATAAAATTGCAGCAAAGTTTGGGAGAGATATGAGGACTATCTATACACTACCCTCCGTCCTTTATATATTCTTAATTAAATAAAAAAATAATTAGAAATAAAAACAAGGAAGGAAAGAATTGAAAATTTTTAAAATCGCAAAAAACTATTATTTTAAGTAGTACTTATCTATAATATTATTTCCAATTAATATGTCGGTACTTATAGTCGTATATTCGATGGTTGGTTATTCAAAGTCCGCCGCGTTTCCCCAATGCGTGTTGGCAGACTTTAGATATCCTTGAAATATAGTTTTTGATTTCTGTGACTCAGGTTTCCTTACGAAGTTTTCCTTCACCGTCGCGTGTTGACGGACTTCAGATGTCCTCAAATATTTTATTCATCTGATATTCAAATTTCCTCACGATATTTTCTTTCACCGTCTAAGACATAAAATTACAATTAACAGTTTCATTGGTGCCGGTGGAGATGGAACCTGGGTTGCTCGCTTACTGTGAAATTTATAACGAATGTGCTATCACTGCTTTTTATATGTCATGTAAAGAAATATTTTCCTGATTTTTTTTTGTATGGTATAACTGACTCGCATTAAGTTCTTAGATCGTTTATATGTATGTATGTATCACAGATACGTGAAGAATGCGAGGCTGAATTGGCGTTATTAGTGGTAGTAAATGGAGAATACTCGGAGGCCTTCATAGAAGCCGTCGGTAACTCGGTTTTACAAAGTAAACATAAAATATCTGTAAGTTTTTTCAAATAAATGTCATGTTTAATATTTAAGAAAGGTAAAACAAAGTTTGAGATCGTCTTATTTAAAAATGCACACGCCTCCCCTGTACTTTGATAGATTTTGTCACATTTGCCATACCTTATATCATAAACTCTAAACCTGTGCACTTTTCTCTTGTGTTTTAGTAGATCTTAACATTTTGACTATATTTGACATAATAAAAGTGATAAAAGCAGTATTAAATTAGACGATCTGTACTTTGCTAATGCTTGCTAAATAGTCGGAGTGTAAATTGCGAATAATGTGTACAAAAAATCGGAAAGCAGCTCTTAAGTTCATAATTATGTCGCCTTCAAAATATTTTATCTTTTCCCACGAGAGTTATTTTCGCTTTCCGATGTTTCCTGGTTTCTCGATATCAGCCGTTACTCATATGCGCATTGCCAATGATCTGGGAAAAGGTTTTCTACTTCCTCTCTGTTTGTAATACAATCAACTAAAAGGCCTTAAGTCTCATTTAAATTCAACCCATTCCCGCAACAATGACCAGGGAAATGGGCTGTGTGCTCTCAGAATTGACTGTTATCGTTGCGGAAGTCTAAACAGGGCAGCAAGAGTGCGAGAGAGTGTTTACATTTATTGCTCAGTTGCCGCCAAGCTCTGAAAAGTGTACTTGCGTACTGTTTTAATTCTGTATTTCCAATAAGGAAGCGGATTAGAGCAACAACAAAACAATTATCAAAAAGAAAAAAACGCGATGCCTTAATTATTTTGTTGTCCGCCATTACGTGAATTTTTATTTGAAATAAGTATCTAATTGTAGCATGTAAACATTCAATGCCTTCGATGGTGCTACAGAAATATTCCGAGAAGTTTAAACGACAGCGCGAATAACTATTTCAAAAGCATAATGTAAACGAGTCACACGGTCCATCTTACTGCAAGAAATGGCCGTCTATAAAACACATTTTTCACATTTACACCACTACCCACATCAAAGACTTCTTTGTATACAACTCGACCGGCAATTCAGAATAAAAACCGTGTCACTCACAGCTGTGGAACCTGCGGTCGTGCCCAACCGGTGCCGTAGCTGGAACGATAATTATATGCCACGAAGTTGTGTTTTCATTTATGATGTGAGATTAGTTACTGTTTATTGACAAATACGAAAGAAAGTTACATACTTATGTGAAATAAATTTCAAATCACGTTGACAAAGTGCGCACAAATAATGGCAGCGTTTTCTTAGCCACATTAAACAAAATTAGTATTAGATTGTCGAAAACAACGTTCACGGTTTACAAAACAAATAACTAATATTCTCGATCGCTCGCAGTAGATTAAAGTAGTTATGGAGAATTGACCGCAACTTAGTGCGCAATGTCTAAGTACGATCGTGCCCGTCTAGCAGTATATATAATGGCTCCAGTACACGTTGGCCGAGTGCGCTTGGCGAGCGCGCTCGGCAGATTTTCGTGGTGCCGTTCACACGTTGGCGTGTTTCATTCTGCGTTGGTAGCTAGATGATGATGGACGTTACGGCAATCGCGGCCGCTGTCATATACTTATACAGCGCTTCACTCTTCTCAGAGTGAACAAGAAAAAAAACTACACATACAACAATAATCCCAGTGTGTCCTTTTTAGGGTTCCGACCTCAAAAGGAAAAAAGAAACCTTTATAGGATTTACTAGCTACTCGTGCCCGCTTCGCTGGGGTTTTTTCAAAATAAAAGATAGCCCAAAAGAAGCCCCTAAGCTACATTATCCCTGAACAACATAAACGCAGAGATAATTATTTATAATAATATTTATCATTAGGTAGGTACTCTGAAATCGCAACTAAACATGTATTATTTAATGCAGTTAGGCAAGTTCCTCTGGTTTTATTTTTATGTTGCTCATGTTTGGGGTTCCATATAACTGATTCATTGTGAGGATCAATCAATGAACAATGAATCAATATTTACTCCATAATTATTAAATCGTAATGTGTTGGTATGCATATAAGTAACATTAAAAATATATTATATTGAATTATATATTTTTTCATAATATATGATATTTATTTATATATATACATGCGTATATATATATGTGTGTGTGTGTGTATGTATATGTATATATTTGTATTGTATATGTATATTTATGTAAGTGCACACTTTGACTACCTCTATTTCCTTCAACTATCCTTCAATATGCCTGCTGGAAGAAATTTCATCATGGAATAGGCAGTGCCTTTGTACATAATTATGTTTTTACCATTTTCCTATCGAATTATGTGTGTACATAAACTGTTAAATAAATAAATAAATATTTCCTCATTAGTCCATGTCGTCATGTTGAAACAATTTTATCAAGCCGACACTACAGTTTACTCCGACGCGTAACTATGAACTGAACACTCGGCCAACGTGTGAACACTGCTTGCGGCTTACGCCAAATTCCTTTGATTTGTGCACGGAAAACCGACACTATACGGCTCGTCGGCGAGCGTTGGCCGCAAACGCCAAATATATACAAAACGGCCCAGTACACGTTGGCCGAGTGCACTCGGCGAGCGCGCTCGGCCAACGTGTACTGGAGCCATAAGAGTCGTTGACCCTGACATATTCTACATCAACAATTTTTCAGTGTTTTATACGCAAAATAATAATATTCCCCCACCCCACCCTTTTAATCATGAACCTTTTTTATACGTCCATGCTTAGAGTATTTATTAAGCGTGTTAATCTATATCTATACATATAATAAATCTGTAGAAAAGTCGTGTCTGTAATTCTAATATATTCTTGAAAAAACAAGTCCAGGGGACTAAATAAAGGGTTCTGAAGCCAAATTAGTGGTTTTTAGAATTTTTGTCTGTCTGTGTGTCTGTCTTTCTGTCTGTCTGTCTGTCTGTCTGTCTATGTATTCCGGATTCACGCAAAAACTACTGAACCGATATACATGAAATTTTGTATGTAGGTAGTCAGTGACCCGGGGCAACTTATAGGCTACTTTTTATCCGATTACGGAACTTCAAAAAAGGAAGGTTAAGTATATTAATTTCCTTTAGATGTTAATTTTTTGTTGTATCTTAGTTATAGGCGGAATGACGGGTGTTTTTCAAGTAATTACCATATTTGTAAATAAAGTTTAAAATTTAGTTATAATCTTGGTAAAATAATTTGAAACTACACTGTTTTCGTATTCAAAACAGCGCCATCTATCATCAAATGTAAAAAGTTGTATATTTTGCCTTCAGTTACTAATAAATGAAATAATATAAATAACTTACATTTATGTTATGATTAAATTATTAGATTTTTAAAATTATTAAAAAATTGTAACGTTCAATTTTTTAGTATTTTTTTATTTTATTTTATAAGTGTAATAATTTCAATAGATAATAGTGATGTCTATAAAAAATATGAAAATTGATAAGGTATTTATTTCAATTACTAATATATATGTAAAGTGGTAAAAACTGGTCTGTCTGCAATTGTTGCAAAATTTTCATTATCATCATAGTTTTATTAAAGAGATTTTTATGTATGTCCTGGCCAGATCGTAGAATTTATCATATATCATAAAGTAGTCTTATCACTTCGTGAAAAGACTGAAAAAATGACTGAAATGAATGTAGTAATTAAACACAACGGTAGCACCGTTGTGTTTAATTACTAATAACTTCATACATAATATTTCATAACATGGTCATATGACGATATCATTATCGTTTTTCACCGCTAGCGGCGCTGATAGCTTACTTTTAACAGAAACAGAACTTTTAAGAGAATTGACATCACTTTATCCCTTATAATAAATAATATTAATTATAATAATAATAAATAAATAAATGTTCGTTTCTATTGCTGATATTACTAGATGGTATAGTTTTGGCTTTCATTATTTCATGTAATATTAGCGCCACCTACTTACTTCTAAATAAATTAAAATGGCAAGTCATTGATAAAATGAAATACAATTCTATTGATTATACGATGTAAATAATTGAATCATTTACATTACGTTCATCCCGCATTGGAATCAGTGCAGCGAACTCTTTTTTGGCCAAAAACTCTACAGCCCAGTAGTAACATGTATGTAAGCTGCTTTTTTACTTTTCATGGGGCAATATATGCAGTTTTTATTTCATTCGTGTTTTCGGGTATGTTAATTTTTGTTTTCACTCTACCGTAAATATTAAGGCTTCCAAAGATGAGTAGAACTCATTATCGTCAGCCTATCAAAAGTCCACTGAAATGAACATAGTCCTCCCCCATAAATTGTCAAGTAGCTGGATATTTGCTATAGTGGTGGGTTGGCAACCGCAGCTATTATTATTTTGATCTGTTGTCAAGAAGATGATGCAGATCATCCCATATACTGTTTTTTTCCTATGTCGCCTCTTACGAGGGGACGATATGAGGTGTTGGATTTTCTTTCACCGCCTCAACAGTGCGAACATTTTTCTACTCCCGTTCATGGGTGTAGTATTCCTGACGTCACTGTGTATAAAATTTATAAGGAATAAAAGTAATTTTAAGGATTTTATCGCGTTTAATTTTAACTTTTTAAAATCCCGATGGTTTAGGCAATTTACAGTACCCATGGTCACGGGAGGGGTGGGAGAACTGAGGTGTTTGACGACCTGGTGTCATAGTTAAAATAAAATAGTTAAAATGCAGTTGTAGTTTGAATTCAATTTTATTAATCGTGGAGTCCTTAGCAGATAGTAGCACTCAGCCATCTTCCCTATTAAAATTAGGATATTTTTCATTTCAATAGCCTCGCGAATCATCATTGGTAGGATTCGGTGTACTATTGCAAGAATTTGTTGTATATAATGGTTGGGACGATACGTAAACATGTTTACATACTTTAGACTTCCCGGAGCTTCGGTGCTTTCATTCGGTGAGGAGCCAAGATGCGTAAAAACCCGTAACATTAGTTTTAATCCTTGTGTGGTATTCATCATTATAGAACTGTATTTGAAATTTTCACTGTCTACTCGAAGTAAAAAAAATATCTATATCTTTTTATGGTGCTAATCAATATTAAATAGGACCAATGATATGAAAAAAAATTCTCAAATAAACATTATATTACTTTGTTAAAACTAAATTTACTTTAACTATGAATATATATATGTAAAGAGTAAAATGTAAATAATAATAATACATTTTGATTTCAAGATTATTTACCTTTCTTATGGATACATCGGAATCGGAAGACACGCCATATATAAAAAATAGTAGGAGTTTCTAGACATATTATATATTCACGTGTACCATGTTACCTGTTGTAATCATCTACGTCTAATAGTATTTTAGAATGAAAAAAAATCTCTGACAGACATAGAGACATAGACACCAAGGTGACTCTAAAAGTGATCGAATATTTCTAAATTTAACACGGAACATCATTTAATGATGTCCCTAAATTCAAGCGCACGCGAGCGAAGCCGCGGGTAAAAAGCTAGTGCCTTAAATATATGTATTACAATTCGTAGACTCCACAATGTAATAACATCTGAGTTTTTTACAGCTTTCTCAGAAATTCAATGATGTACTTAAATCTGTCGTGGAACAGACTGAAAATTTAATTAACATGGGAGAAGATTTTAAAGCTATTGTTGCACCAGTAAGTGTTGACTTTCACCTGCATACCGCTTTAACCCACTATATGGCCCGGTACTTCTATACAAGACGTAAAATTTTAGTGAAACAATGAACAATTAACAAATCTTAAAATATAAAGGCGAAAAAATAACCAACCAACAAATTAATAATTTATTTTTCAAAGCTTGTGCCGTGAAAAATAAATTATTAATTTGTGTGTGCGCGCCGTTTTTTGAACTCGGTTAGAAATCTTGTTAACTGATTTGAGTTCTTCTTTTTACCTTTTGGCTTGGGTTCTCTTTTTAATGTTTAAACGTTCTAATTTCTAAAATGGAACATAATCCCCGAAAACCGAAAACAGAAAAGAGGAGAAATGGGTGCAGCGTAAGTTAAAGTTACAGCCCATATTCGTCTCACTGCTGGGCACAAGCCTCCTTTCGTATCTAATAGCTAAGGCTTATGTAGAAATTAGTCCGCCGTGATGCTGAAGCATTTGAGTAAAGAAATTACTTGTGTGGCTAAAAGTACGCCACTTCACGTTTTGGCTTGTTACTTGGCGTACTCCTCAGATATGCAGGTTTTCTAACGATGTTTACCTTCACCGCCGAGCACGTGGTAAATCAGCACTTAAAATTGCAATTAACAATTTCATTGGTGCCGGCGGGGATCGAACCCGGTTTGCTCGCATACTATGAAATTTATAGCGAGCGCCAACCATCTTCTGAGTATATGATGTTATAAAAGAAAGAAATATTTAATCATACATTACAGCCCTTCACAAGTCCACTGCTGAACATAGGCCTCCCCCAAAGAATGCCACAAAGCACGGTCCTGAGCCACCTGCATCCATCGACTTCCTGCATATCTTACCAGGTCGTCACTCCATCTAGTGGGGGGACGCCCTACACTTCGCCTGCCGGTACGAGGCTGCCACTCGAGAACCTTTCTTCCCCATCGGTTGTCGGTTCTTCGAGCTATATGGCCGGCCCATTGCCACTTCAGCTTACTAATCCGTTGGGCTATGTCGGTCACTCTAGTTCTACTGCGGATATCCTCATTTCTGAGTTTATCACGCAGAGAAACTCCGAGCATAGCCTTCTCCATAGCTCGCTGAGCGACCTTGAGCTTCCTCATCCGGCCAGCAGTGAAGGACCACATCTCAGATCCGTAAGTCATCACTGGCAACACGCACTGGTTGTACAATTTCGTTTTAAGGTTTTGAGGTATGTCTGACGAGTGGTCCTTCACTGCTGGCCGGATTTAATCATACGATGTTTTAATTAGCTTTATTTATATAATATTTCTTTGGGTTTAAAACAAAACTTACTAGAAGTAACTGTTTAGAAATAAGGGTGACGAACGAGTAAGTGCTTACAATTTTTAATCAAAATGCAAATGCGTTTGTCACCCCTGATGACTAAGATGGAATGCTTCGTTAGTAATAACTCACAAACAGAGCGTTGACTACGTTTCGAGTGATGCAAAAACCAAGCTTCCACAACTTATTATATGTGGTAGAGCCATGCTGCGGCTATATTAGTAGTATAGTTGTAGCACGAATGGGTCGGCACGACCGGGGAGGACCACGCTCTCACAGAATACCAGCGTATGTTTCGTATGGTGAGTGTAGAGACCCGGAGACCCTTTTTACTGGAAAAAAGGTATTCCATCTTAGTCCTCACGGGTGACAACGCATCTGCATTTTGATTCTTTATTTAGTATAGATATAGATGTCTATGGGTCACAGCAACCACTTACCATCAGGTGGACTGTGTGCTCGTTTCTCACCCTATCCAATAAAAAAAAAATAAGAACGCGTAGGTACGTGTGTATATATGCACCTAAAATAATTTGCAACCAACAACATATTTTTAGGTGCATATGTGTGCGTCCAGTTGCTTTTACGTGTTGATAAATAAAGAAAGAAGAAAGATGTGTGCGTGAATGCGTGTGAAGAAGTTGAGCATGGTTTTGGAATCACTTGAAATCTATTTTTTCTATGTTGGCCTGAGTGTATTAAATAACAATCTTAGTTGATTTCATTTTTTACTCATACTCATAGACAGCAATTTGACACGACCGGGCAGAGGTCAGGCGCAGGACCAACGGCTTTACGTGCTTTCTGAGGCACGGGGGTGCAACATCGCCAACTTGCTGACTCATTCCCCGATTGGCCCGATCCGAAATTTGAATCTAGAATCCCATGACTAGCTGTCACGTTTATGACCACTAGGCCAATAAGGCAGCCGTAAAGGAGTAATCGTTTAATATCTACATTATTAAATACGTCAAGGTTGGTTTTAGCATTTGCCAGAAAATCAAACGAAGAAGCGAATCGTTATGTTCCCAATCAAGGACAAACAGTTTTCTTTGATCGTTTGTGTTGTCGCGCCGAACATTCTGGAAGAACGGGTCGCTTTAATAATCTATGAGTGTTTTCTGTAAGTAATAATAATAAGAAATTATTGTCCTTTAATAAGTAATGTAAAATCAAATATTGATGAGAGTTATTAGGTACAATAAATGAATATGCACATTTTGGGAGCAGCCTCAATTCCTCTGATGTTGCTGTTGTTTATGTGCGTCGGTCAACACTTAACATTGGGTGAGCCGCATGCTCGTGTCTCCCCAATTCTATGCAAGTGATAAAATTTAAAATGTTGTACAACCGACTAAAATATAAATAAATACGCATTATTAAGCATAACTCAAAAGTTACTTGTCAGATCTAGACCAAATTGTTCAGGAAACACATGAGTAGCACCAGCTTTCAAATAAAAAAAGAATTATCTAAATCGGTTCATCTAGAAAAAAGTTATGAGGTAACACACATAAAAATGCTGTTGAATTGAGTCCCTCTTCTTCCTTGAAGTCGGTTAAAAAGCCGTTGGATTATTAGGAAGGCTGCAACGCTTAGGTAATTCCCCCAAAAATAGGAACCTTTACCTTTAGTCTCGTACGTTAGTCCAGCAATAGAAGCGCATCATTCCAGTTCCATGTTTTCATCATAAAAATTATTTGCGCGGTTTTGTACACTTTACAAAACAACGCAACAGTCGTCCAGTTCGCCTTCGCATCGCCTTCTTCATTTGAAGTTGTTCGCAAGTGTACGTAAGCTGCAGTAACCACTTACCATCAGGTGGAATGTGAGTTCGTTTATCACTTAAATTTTATTAAAAAAATGAGGTTTGAATATACTCTGAATTTTGTTTCTTTGCAGGTTTTTCTGGCCAGTGCTGAAGAAATCCATCGCACTGGAATACGAATGCACGCTGAAAGAAAAGTGTCAACAGTTGCTTCGTGTAGCCAGGCACCTGTTTGCTCAGGTGACATCGCCATGTTTCATAAAAATTCATAATAAATATAAATTAAAATACAAATTCCTTTCATCATCATCATCCTTACAGCCTTTCATAAGTCCACTGCTGAACATAGGCCTCCCCCAAGGAATGCCACAAAGCACGGTCCTGAGCCAACTGCATCCATCGAAATCCTGCATGTCTTACCAGGACGTCACTCCATTTCGAGGGGGGTCGCCCTACACTTCGCATACCGGTAAGAGACTGCCACTCGAGAACCTTACCTCCCCATCGGTTGTCAGTTCTTGGAGCTATATGGCCGGCCCACTGCCACTTCAGCCTATTAATCCGTTGGGCTATGTCGGTTACTCTGGTTCTACTGTGGTTATCCTCATTTCTAAGTTTATCACGCAGAGAAAGCCCGAGCATAGCCCTCTCCATAGCTTGCTGAGCGACCTTGAGCTTCCTCATACGGCCAGCAGTGAAGGACCACATCTCAGATCCGTAAGTCATCACTGGCAACACGTACTGGTTGTACAATTTCGTTTTAAGGTTTTGAGGTATGTCTGACGAGAAGATGTGTCGTAGCTTTCCGAACACTGCCCAGCCGAGTTGAATCCGTTGATTGACCTCTTGGTCGAAGTTGGACTTACCTAGTCGGACTATATGTCCCAGGTAAACATACTCATCAACAACTTCGAGCTTAGTGGTCCCAACAACTACCGGCATAGGTGTGACATGGACATTAAACATGATCTTTGTTTTGTCGATGTTCATCTTAAGACCTATAGAATAGAATAGAATAGAATAGAATAGAATAGAATAGAATAGAATAGAATATTTTTATTCAATATACATTACATGTGTAATTCTTATTGAAAGTCATTTTTTACTTTACCACTGGTTCGAAAAAAACCCTCTGTCCTGGGAAGAACCAGCAAGAAACCCAGCGGGACTTTTTTTTAAATAAATTTTACAATATAAATGATTACGAACTATTTACAAAATTTATTTTAGAAACTGCTTGGAAGCGATCACCTCATTCCCAGGGGTTATTATCAACCATGTATTCATTTATACTATAATAACCCTTTTTATACAGTTTCAGCTTAATAAAACATTTAAACTTGGTAATAGAGAGAACCTGTACACTTTCCGGGACCTTGTTGTAATAGCGTATACATTGCCCCAAGAATGAATTACTGACTCTGTGGAGTCGAGAAACTGGTATCACTAGCTTGTGTTTGTTCCTAGTGTTTACAGAATGTATATCACTTCTTTTACTAAAACTATCTTTGTTTTTGTGAACATACATTAAATTTTCGTAAATATACTGAGAGGCCAAAGTTAATATATTAATTTCTTTAAATTTATCTCTAAGAGACTCTCTCGGTTTTAGATTGTAAATAGCTCTAATGGACCTCTTCTGTAAAACAAAAATAGTTTCTGAATCAGCCGCATTTCCCCATAGCAAAATCCCATAAGACAATATGCTATGAAAATAACTAAAATAAACTAATCTAGCTGTCTCGACACTAGTGAGACCTCTAATCTTTTTTACAGCATAGGCTGCAGAACTTAGTCTGCTTGCTAATTTGGATATATGGGGGCCCCACTGGAGCTTTGCGTCAAGAGTGATGCCAAGAAAAACAGTGGATACAACAGGGCTCAATTCCTCCCCATTTAAAAACACATTGGTATTCAGATTTTGAACATTCGTTGTTGTAAATTTAACACAATTAGTTTTATTTTCGTTCAAATGCAGATTATTAACGTTAAACCAATGCACTAATTTTGATATAGCATTATTCACTTCGTCACATTTAAATGATTGACGTTTAAGTTTAAAAATCAAGGAAGTATCATCAGCAAATAATACTATATCATGACTATCCCCTACAAGGTGAGGTAAGTCATTAATATACACCAGAAACAGGAATGGGCCGAGAATCGAGCCCTTTTTTTTTTTTTTTTTGCGGATGGAAAATCATCAAATGACGCCTTTCGCTCTGGGTGGAGCGGAAGGGAGTGTCAGACTTTTACTGACTAAAAACCATCCGTGTTCCTTCAGTGCCCTTACGTTCCGGAGCCGCGGTATCTCTTTCGAACAGCCCGCAGCGAGAATCGAGCCCTGAGGTACACCCATTAGTACAGGTGACCCGGAAGAACTTTTACCATTGATAATAACCTTCTGTTTTCTATTACTTAAATATGAAATAATAAGTTTAAGCGCTGTGTTCTTGACACCATAGTACTGTAGCTTCCTGATTAATGTCTCATGGTGAACACAGTCGAAGGCCTTGGAAAGGTCACAAAATATACCCAAAGCATCCTCTGAATTCTCCCATGCACAAAAAATATGTTTAATAAGCTCAACTCCAGCGTCAGTTGTCGAGCGACCCCTTGTAAAACCGAATTGATTATTATGTAGCAATTTATTAATATTAAAGAAACTTAACATCTGATCTAAAACAATTTTTTCAAAAATTTTACTTAATGTACCAACACAGTACAGAAATTGGTCTAAAATTGGCGGGGTCTAATGTACTACCAGATTTAAATATAGGTATGACTTTACTATGTTTCATTAAATCAGGAAACACACCAGATTCGACGCTTATATTATATATAGTGGCTAGATAAGGTGCTAATGTATCTATTATAGATAAAATAACTTTAACGGAAATCCCCCATAAGTCTGCCGTTTTCTTAACATCAATAGTTTTAAAATATTTATTGATATCTTTTGGCAGTACCCTATGGAATTAAAAAGTATTTGAACAAGCCTTTACATTTTGTTTGAGCAATGATTCGGCGACAATAGGAGAAGAATTCAATGATTTTGTTGTCAAAAAAGGAACATCAGTAAAATGTTTCTCAAAAGCCATAGCAACTTCTTGATCAGATCGCGTTAAATTATTGTTAATATTCAATTGAAAATCCGAGTTGCGCGGTTTGACCTTGCCCGTTTCACTATTTATTATTTATTATATATATTTATACTATCCGTTGGGAGACACTATCGAAGGTCATTGAGCATGGTGCTTAGTTCCTCCAGCGATTCTGCCATAAAGACTATATCGTCGGCAAATCGAAGGTGAGTGATGTACTCGCCATTGATGTTAATACCGTATCCTTTCCAGTCCAAAAGCTTGAAAATGTCTTCACGTGAAGAGTTTCGGCGATATAACGTCACCCTGTCTTACACCTCTCTGCAATTGGATAGGTTTCGTACTCAGGTTCTGTACTCGGATAGCCATCGTAGCCCTACTGTACAAGCACTTCAGCACCTCGACATACCGGCAGTCAACTTGGCACCGCTGAAGGGATTACAGCACCCCCCAAATTTCGACGGAATCAAAGGCTTTCTCATAGTCCACATACGCCAGACATAGTGAATTCTGTACAACTTGCCGAAGGGTATGTATGTGGTCTATGGTGCTAAAGCCCTTTCGGAAACCGGCTTGTTCGGGAAGCTGGAAGTCGTCAAGTCTGCGCGCGAGACGATTCGTAATGACTCTCGAAAACAGCACGTAGACGCGGCTCAGAAGGGAAATCGGTCTGTAGTTCTTCAAGAGAGCGTTGTCACCTTTCTTGAAGAACAAGACCACCGCACTTCTGTTTCACGCCTCCGGTGTAATGCCACCATGGAGTACGGCATTAAAGAGCTTCTGAAGGACTTCAAGTACCGCTTTTCCACCCGCTTTCAGAAGCTCCGCTGTAATTCCATCCTCGCCTGGGGCCTTGCCGTTTTTAAGGTGCTGGAGAGCCATTCTAATCTCGCTCAGACTGACGTCCGGGATATCTTCGGAATAGTGTCACTCAAAATCTCAGATGCCCCGGAAACGATGCTGCCACACTTGGTCTTCAGCTTTGATAGTTGGCTCTTTCTGGCAGACAGATCTCTGGCAAAGACATAGGAGCCTTGGTTCCGCTCGATCGCTTCTTCAATACAAGCTGTATTGTAGTTGCGTAAGTCCCGCCGCATGCATTTGGAGATCTGTCTGTTCAGTTGCCTGTATGCTGTCAAATCTGTTGAAGAATGCAGCTTCATCTCCCGTCTAACAGCTATGAGATTAAGAGTGTGATCGGAGAGTTTTTGTGTTCTTCTGCGGCGGGTCTTGCAGAACTTAGCTCCGACCGCATGGACAGTTTCCACGAGCTTGTCATTCAAATCGTCCACTTCATTGCAGTCTTCTAGGCACTGAAAACGGTTTTGTAACTCGAGCTGAAAGGTTTCGGGACTTTGGAACAGAGCACGAGGGGGACGGAGCGTTGACTTCATTAGATGAGACCCCTCCAACTTAACGTTTAGGTTCAGTGTGCCTCTGACCATTCGGTGATCGCTACCAGTTTTCACCCTCGCGATCACGGAGACATCACTGAACAGTTGTCGTCTGGTCGTCATAAGGAAGTCAATCTCATTTTTTGTCGAACCGTCGGGGCTCGACCAGGTCCACTTCCTGTGGGGCCGCTTCTGGAAGAAAGGGTTCATCATAAAGAGTCCCTTTTTCTCCATGAAGTCGGCCAGCTGCTGGCCCCTTGGGTTCCGTTGCCCTATTCCAAATTTCCCTACTTTCAGCTCACCGTTCTCTGTTGTGGCTAGTTTTGAGTTGAAGTCTCCCATTCACACTGCATAGTGGGTTTTGGAGGAATGCATGACTCTAGTAATATCCTCATACATTTCCTCCACCTCCTCATCGGGGTGTGCCGAAGTTGGTGCGTAAACCTGTATGACTTTCAGCAAATATCGTTTGGTGATACTGAGTATAAGGTACGCAACCCCCGTCGATACACTCTCAATCTTTACAACGTTGGTAACGAGAGACTTGTGGACGATAAATCCGACACCTCCTTGGGACAGATGGTCGCCCTCCCGGTGATAGAGCAAGTTGCCGGATTCGAGGATTACCGTGTCCTCCCCCTCTCTCCGGACTTCTGATAATCCTATAATATGCCAGCGTAACTTGTCTGTCTCTTCTTCCAGCTCCACAATCTTCTCGTCAGTCCTCAGGGTGTGTGCGTTGTATGTTGCCAGGTCGAGTCGTCTTAGGTGGCAACCGAACCTCCACCGGAGATTCTTATCACCCCCTGCCCCGCCGTTACCATGGTAGCCACCGTAGCCAGGAATAGCGAGGCCGCCGGGGACTGGGGGACGTCTCTTTGTTACATTCATAGGAGGGTATTTGCCATAGCTGCTACGCTTGGCGTGCGGGTTGGCAACCGCAGTTTTTTTTATTGTATTTTTGCTGTTATCAGGAAGATGCTGCTGCCCATCTCCTGCTTGTTTCCCTTTGTCGCCTTTTACGATACCCACGGGAAGATATGGGGTAGTAGATATTCTTAACCGCCACTACACGGCAAATTCTGTCGTCAAAATATTGCCGTCCAGACCGAATTTACATAGAGCAACACCGTGCACCGGCGCGGTGGACCGGAGGTCAGAAGCTATAGCGTTTTTTCCCGATACAGAAATGTCTGTTGTCATATAGATTTATTTTTTGCGAGGAAAAATCTGCTCACTTTTTTGTTGCCTTTTGGCCGCAATGAGTTATCCTCAATCGCCGATTTAGTCCAACTTTTGTGAGAAAATATGAGAATGTCAAAGTAATAATGTAGTAGTTAGTAGCTTACAGATATATTAATTTTTACTTTAACAATTATAAACTAAGTTTAGTGAAAACTCGAGACATTTGGCGTCCCGATCAAGGGTGAATCGGGACGTGTCACCAGACAACTGAAAATCGCGCACATATTGAGACACCTGGCAACACTACCATCGTTTTTTATTATTTATTAGGAAAACGCTACTGTCCATCTGCTGATTTGTTTCCCTGTGTCGCCTCTTACGACACCCATGGTATGATATCTGGTAGTGGATATTCTTACACCGCCACTACACGGTAATCATCATCACATATAGTATACGTGACAGAGCCACGCTGCAGTTATATTGTGGTTTAAACACGAATGGGTCGGCTCGACTGGGGTAGGAGCAAGCTCTCACAGAATACCAGCGTAAAATAGCAGCTTAATGCTACTGGTCCTCAGGGGTGACAGCGTATCTGCATTTTGATTCTAAATCGAGGATATATGTAGATGTTTATGGGCCACAGCTTCCATTTACCATCAGGTGACTGTGTGCTCGTTTGTCACCCTTATTCTATTAAAAAAATATGCCATCAGGTGGATTCCTTGGAGGCCCTCCTAAATATCACAATGGAACAAGCGAAGCTACTGATGAAGGCGGAATACTGCACCGTGATGCTGGTGGACGTTGATCACATGGATCTGGTCGAGAATTATTATTCTATGGAGCAAGGATTGGTACTAAATTCTATTAATTTAGCAGGCTTATTACTAGGAGATAGGAACACTTTACGAGTTAGGAGTACATACTGAGTAGGTACCATCTAGTGGACTATACGATATACGTGGTAGAAACATGCTGCAGCTATATTATGGTTGTAGCTTGAATGGGTCGCCTCGACACGGGACCACGTTCTCGCAATAAAAATAAAATTACAGCCTCTATACGTCCCACAGCTGGGCACAGCCCTCTCCTCATTTCTGAGAGGGTTTTAGGGTAAAGAAATGCCCGCCGCGCTGTCCTATGTGTGTTGACGAACATGTCGTCTAAATATTTTTTGTTATTTCTCAGACATGCATGTCCTCACGATGTTTGCCTTCACCGCCGAGAACGTGGTAAATCAGCACTTAAAGTTGCAATTAACAATTTCATTGGTGCCAGCGGGGAACGAACCCGGGTTGCTCGCGTACCATGAAATTCACAGCAAGCGCTTAGCCCCTACCTACGCTACCACGACTCTTAGCTACCAAGGCTCCAAGTTTCATATCAATAAAAATCCTCTTTAATTCTAAAGTATTCATAATCTGTCATCGGTATTTCATAACATTAAAATATTTAAATTGATTATTAAAGCTACATAAAGTTTTTTTTATAGGATAGGGTGACAAACGAGCACGCAGTCCACCTGATGGTAAGTGGTTGCTGTGGCCCATAGACGTCTACATTTATCCTCGTTTGCGAATCAAAATGCAGATGCATTGTCACCCGTGAGGACTAAGATGAAATGCCTCTTTTCCAGTAAAAAGGGTCTACGGTGTTCTACACTCACCATACGAAACACAGCAGTGTCAAGCTGCTATTTTACGCTGGTATTCTGTGAGAGCGTGGTCCTCCCCGGTCGAGCCGACCCGTTCGTGCTACAACTATACTACTACTGCATGCAGCATAGCTGCAGCATGGCTCTACCACGTAATGCAGTGAATTTAATACAATCTTTTGTTTGTAAGAATAAAAAGGAGATCGTGAAAAGGCGATTCAAAATGAACGTCGGTATAGCAGGCCACGTTGTCAGCACCGGCAAGCTCGTGAACGCGAAAAATGCCCGGGAACATCCACATTTCTTACATGACATAGATTCTTACCCAGGAATTGAGTGCAAGTTAGTATGTCTATTTTTATTTATATTTTTGACATTAGTATATATAATGTATATCAGTAGTTTCTTTTATTCTTTTCAGTATTAGTTTATCTTAAACAAACCAAAAGAAAAATTGTATTCTAAGTTTCTAATTTAATACACAGTACGAGTACCTATAATAAATCGGTCGGAGGTCGGAGCTAAGTTCTGCAAAACCCGTCGAGAAGAATCCCAAAACTCCGATCACACTCTTAATCTCATGGCTGTTAGACGGGAAATGAAGCTGCAGTCTTCAGCAGACATTACTCCAAGTGCATGGCGCGGGACTTACGCAACTTCAATACAGCTCGTATTGAAGAAGCGGAAGCGAAGGAGCGGAAACAAGACTCCAAAGTCTTTGCCAGAGACCCAGAGATCGGTCTGCTAGAAAGAGCTAAAGACTGAATGTGGTAGCATCGTTTCTGGAACACCTGAGATTTTGAGGGAGATTGAGAGGTTCCACCGTCATTATTGGAGCCACGGCGCAAGTGTGAGTATCGATCCAAGACCAAGTCTTATCCGATAATATTCCAATGATATCCCGGACGTCAGTTTGAGCAAGATTAGAATGGCTCTCTAGAACTTTAAAAACGGCAAGGTACCGAACGTGGATGGAATTACAGTGGAGCTTCTGAAAGCGAGTGGAAAACTACACAGTAGGTACCCACTTGAAGTCATTCAGTAGCTCTTTAATTCCGTGCTCCATTGTGCCACTACTCCAGAGGCGTGGAGCAGAAGTGTATTAGGCTTGTTCTTCAAGAAAGGCGACAACGCTCTTTTGAAGAACTACCGACCGATTTCATTCCTGAGCCTGTTTTCGAGCGTCATTACGTATCGTCTCGCACGCAGACTCGACGACTTCCAGCCTCCCGAACAAGCCGGTTGTTTCCGAAAAGGCTTTAATAACATAGACCACATACATACCCTTCGTCAAATTGTACTGAAGACCGAAGAGTACAATCTGCCACTTTATATATGTGAACTATGAGAAAAACTTTGATTCCGTCGAAATTTGGGCGGTGCTACAGTCAAGTTGAATGCCACTTTATATATGTGAACTATGAGAAAAACTTTGATTCCGTCGAAATTTGGGCGGTGCTACAGTCAAGTTGAATGCCACTTTATATATGTGAACTATGAGAAAAACTTTGATTCCGTCGAAATTTGGGCGGTGCTACAGTCAAGTTGAATGCCACTTTATATATGTGAACTATGAGAAAAACTTTGATTCCGTCGAAATTTGGGCGGTGCTACAGTCAAGTTGAATGCCACTTTATATATGTGAACTATGAGAAAAACTTTGATTCCGTCGAAATTTGGGCGGTGCTACAGTCAAGTTGAATGCCACTTTATATATGTGAACTATGAGAAAAACTTTGATTCCGTCGAAATTTGGGCGGTGCTACAGTCAAGTTGAATGCCACTTTATATATGTGAACTATGAGAAAAACTTTGATTCCGTCGAAATTTGGGCGGTGCTACAGTCAAGTTGAATGCCACTTTATATATGTGAACTATGAGAAAAACTTTGATTCCGTCGAAATTTGGGCGGTGCTACAGTCAAGTTGAATGGCGATATAATCGAAGTGCTGAAGTGTTTGTAGGGCTACGATAGCTATCCGAGTACAAAACCAGAGTATCCAACTTCAGAGAGGTGTAAAACAGGGTGACGTTATATCCCCGAAACTCTTTACCGCTGCATTGGAAAACGTTTTGAAGCTAGACTAAAAAGGATACGGTGTTGACATCATTGGTGAGTACATCACTCACCTTCGATTTGCCAACAATATAGCCCGTATGGCAGAATCGATGGAGGACCTAAGCACTATGCTCAATAACCTCAATAGTGCATGGACAAAACAAAAGTCATGTGTAACGGCCATGTCACATATATATCGGTAGTTGTTGTGAGCACTGAGCTCGAAGTTGTTGACGAGTATGTTTACCTTTTTTTTATAGAATAAGGGTGACAAACGAGCACACAGTCCACCTGATGGTAAGTGGATGCTGTGGCCCATAGACATCTACATTTATACTCAATTAGGAATCAAAATACAGATGCGCCGCCACCCCTGAGGACCGAGATGGAATGCCTCGTTTCCAGTAAAAAGGGTCTCCAGTTCTCTACACCTTCCATATGAAACACAGCAGCATTGAGCTGCTATTTTACGCTGGTATTCTGTGAGAGCGTGTTCCTACTCCGGTCGAGCCGACCCATTCGTGCTGCAACCACAATATAGCTACAACATGGCTCTACCACGTAATAAAACCTAGGACAAATAGTCCGACTAGGTAAGTCCAACTTTGACCGAGAGGTCAATCGACGGATTCAACTCGGCTGGGCAGCGTTCGGGGGATTATGACACATTTTCTCGTCAGGCATACCTCAAAATTTCAAAACAATGTGTGTTGCCAGTGACCTGGGTTATACCTGAGTATAATTTTTTTTATATATATAGAGGAAGTGTGACAAAATACTTAACTTAATAATATACGTGATAAAATCCGTAAAAACTATTTTAATTTAAACGCGTAGTGTTCGCGTAAACATAAGAAACCATTAGCTTTAATACATTTCAGGTCACTTCTATGTTTCCCAATTCGCGACCAGTCCGGTATCATTGGTGTAGTGTGTCTCATCAACAAAGTTGACGATCCTTACTTCAACGCCATGGACGAGGAAATGGCGCTGGCGTTCAGCGTATACTGCGGAGTGTGTATTGTCCATTCCGTAGTGTACCAGAAGATGCAGGAGGCGCACATCAGAAACGCTCTAGCAAATGAGCTTGTGATGTATCATATGAAGGTTGTAACGTCATCTCCTAATAACTAGCGGCATCTAGCTTTCATTAATTTTGTAATTTTTTACCTTACCGTACCTCCACAGCTTATTAAAAATTCACTGCTCAACATAGACCTCTCCCATAGAGTGCCTCATATATGTCACAGTTGTCGCGCTTGGCGGGCGGGTTGCAACCGTAGTTTTTTCGTTTTAGTTGTTATTAGGAAGAAGACGTCTCTTACTTCAAACACGGGGTAGTGAATATTATTATACCGCCACGACAGTCTACAGTCTTTTTTTATAGGAGAGTGGGCAAACGAGCATGCGGTTCACCTGATGGTAAGTGACTACCGCCGCCCATGAACAACCGCAACACCAGGGGAACCAGGGGAATTGCAGATGCGTTGCCGGCCTTTTAAAAAGGAGTAGGCTCTTTTCTTGGAGGTCCCTAAGTCGTATCGGTCCGGAAAAATCGCTGTTGGTAAACTATTCTAGTCTAAAGAAGTTAGGCTGTGCCGCCATTCCACAGTTGTAATTTAGCGTAGGCTTTAAATACTAGCAGAATAACAGCGTTAAATAGCAGCATAATGCTGTGTTACCTACGGGAAGTGGTGAGAACCGGAGACGCTTTGGGCTGGTAACGAGATAATTCCTTCTTAGTCTTTAATGGGTAACAACGCATCTGTATTTTTATTCTTAATTGAGAATATATGTAGGCGTTTATGGCACAGCATCCATTTATCATAAGGTTGACTTTGTACTATCACTTGTATTAAAAAAGTTAAGATATAAGATTAGAACGGTAGCTTCGTTGCTTAGTGTAAGTACAGTTAGATGTTCTGCGCTATTACTCAAGATTTGAATCATATTAGGAGTTGGATGGAACCTGTTTTACAATAAGAAAATATATGCAGCTAATATTTTTTTATTGTCTTTACGCTTGACTTATTGCTGTCGTTACTCATGGAGAAATGTGTGCCATAGTTGTCACGACTGGCAGGTAGGCTGACAACCGCAACTTTTTTTTCTAGTTTCAATTAGGAAGATGCTGCTGCCCATCGCTTGTTTTGTTTTCCGTTCTCGTATTTTACGTCCGATTGACCGAACTTTTGGCTGTTTTAAAGTTAAAAAAGTTAAAGCTACAGCCTATATACATCCCACTGCTGGGCACAGGCCTCCCCTCATTTCTGAGAGGGTTTTAGGGTAAGTTCCGCCACGCTGCCCCAATGCGTGTTGGCGAACTTCACGTGTCTTCGAATTTTTTTTCTTATTTCTTCGACATGCAGGTTTCCTCACGATGTTTTCCTTCACCGCCGAGCACGTGGTAAATCAGCACTTAAAATTACAATTAACAATTTCATTGGTGCCGGCGGAAATCGTACCCGGGTTGCTCGTGTAGGTACTGTGTAGGCTTATTTGGGTATTGTATATTCTTACACCGCCTCTACACGGTGGTTTATGTCAACTCGACCTGGCCACATTTAACGCCAGCACCCTGAGTACTGACGAGAGGATTCTGGCGCTGAAAAAATATATAGATAAGTTGCTCTAGGATATTACAGGATTATCTGTGGTCTGAAGAGAGGGGAGGACACGGTGATGCTCGAATGTAGCAACTTTTTCTATTACCGGGAGGGCGACCATCTGCCCCAAGGAGGTGTCATGTTTATCGTCCACAAATATCTTTTTAACTATGTTGTATATGAGTTTGAGACGTGTCTCAAGAGACTCAATCACTAATTGCGTGTTGTGTTTCGAACGATGTTTCGACGTTGTTCTGCGCTTTCCGGTAGGTGGCGCGATGAGTATTTACTCCGAACTCACAGCGGATAATTATTTACAAAAATATAAAACTTATTAATAAATCGATAACCCCGTCACATTTCAAATCTTAGCAAAGCTATGAACCATCGTCTCGACAAAACAAATATTTTGCTGGGATATGAGTAGTGTTGCCCAAATGCAAGAACAAGTCGAGACTTAGCCAGCGATGGTCTAAACTAGGAATGCCCTCTTTATTTCTTTTAATGGATATTTTCATTCGCTATGTATGTTTATGGTATTGTCCGTAATGCGCATAAGTCGAATTTTCCAAATTTTTTTATTATATTTTCTTGCGTCTCATAGAGTCCCTAAGCGTATACCCGAACTCCTATACTCCCTGAAACGACACTCAGTCCTAACTCCAAGACGCAAGAGTCTCGCAGGCTTAGTGTTGTTCTTGCTCAAATCTTGCACAGCCAATCTTGGTCTTGGTCTTGCGAAAATGCAAGAACAAGACCAAGACTGCAAGACCAAGACCGATTTTGGGCAACACTAAATATGTGTAATGTCCTCCAGACCGAATTCCGGTCACGACGGCCAGTCTCAACGACGGCACAGAATAGATAATAGTACAAGTAACGATGGTTATCTGACATGGATACGTAGGACAGGACCGGACAGGACCTACGTAGGACATGATTATAGTGCTTGAATATATGCACGCTAACTGATCTGTATGCGTATCTATCATGTATCGCTTACTCTCATAGTCCTATCCGACGATTATCCGACAAGACTGGAGAGAGATCAGCAGGACGGCTTTACATAATTTCCGAGGCAGGGAGAGAAGCACCGCCAACTTCCTGACTCCGAGCTGTCTATGAAAACTTATTGACAAATCTGATTTTGACCGAATCAGGGATTCGAACCGAGGACCTCACGATCAGCAACCGTCTTTACGGCTTCCAGACCAACGAGGCAGTTGAACTGAACTATGTGATCAATGTAGGTGGATGATACCGAAGTGGACAATCTACTAGAATGTAATGGCTTCCACAAGCACCCACACATCGCGAACCTGCACTTCAACATCCGGGCTCTGCCGCTGCGCGAGCTGCCTTGCTACGTTGTCAAGATGTTCTCCGATCTCGGATATGAGAAGAAGTAACATTTCATTTATTTATTTAAACTTTTATACACATAAAATAAAATCGTACATATGGCGGACTTAATGCTTAAAGGCAATCTCTCCCAGTCAACCATTAGGGTAAGCAGAGACAAACATATGGGAGGTAAAAATAAGCTAGTCATTACATCATTACAGCCCTTCACAAGTCCACTGCTGAACATAGACCTTCCCCAAAAATAAACAAAATTGCCATGACAAATAAGGAAAATACGTGACGGTAGAATCATTTTTTAGGAAAAAGTGTTAATTCACACTTACAATGTTACACTAAAATGTTCACGAACTTTGTTTTAGTAACCATAGAAATTATATTCTTTATGATTGCACACCAGTAGTATGAACACTTAGGTGAATTTGGAATCGTAATACCAGAATTAACATTTTCATCTCAGAATATACCAGTCAATTATAAAGTAATGGATATAGTCCACTATATACGGCTTAAATGTACACACGCATTTGCATTTGCATTTCTATTTTCTATCGCATTTACCGCAGGGAGTGCTCTGAGGAATTGTTCGGATTAATCCTAGCCGCCAAATTACACCATCGCACTTCACTATAAAACTCACGATACCATCCACACCATCTGGACCTGGCGGTTTACCACTGTGCGTTTTACTAGAAATTTTCTTCCTCGTACGACTTCTTTGTGAAATTGTTTAACACCGGCGATTTTTCCGGACCGATACGACTTAGGGACCTTCAAGAAAAGAGCTTATCCTTTCTAAAAGGCTGGCAACGCACCTGGAATACCCTGGTGTTGTAGTTGTTAACGGGCGGGTAGTTCTGTGTGACTAACTATCAGGTGAACTGCATGCTCACCTGTTGGTAATGGCTCGTTTGTCCCCTCTTCTATAAAAAAAAGAACGTGGTCAAGTACTACAAGCGACGCTGCGTCAACCGGCGCCGGCGATCTCGAGCCGAATGTGACAGATTACACTTACGCGACGCAGTCAGCTGCATGGATCCCGCGTCGCGCTAAAACATGGACCTTTCCCGTTGTAGGCAGGGTTTGCCTCTATCCCCACCCTCGGCCGGTGGATTGGCTGTCGGAGTACTAGAATATCTTGCAACTTTAATGCTGCTACAAGCTAATATTCCATAAAACGTGAAAGGCCTCTTACGAGGGACTTACGGGCTGTTGGTGATGAAGTTGATGAATTTATTAACGACGATGTGCACTAGGCAATCAACTTGACAAAGTAACTTATATTATACATACCTAAGCGTATTTGTAAGAGACTGACAATGATAATTTTATAAATTTTAATATTTTTGTCAGAAAAAAATTTTGGCTGTCACCGAAGATCTCCCGACAGTTAAATGAAAATTTATAACGTTAGAGGAATCTACACTTCCTGTTTATTCCACTTTCGAATTGTCTATACAATGTTTTGGAATGTCCATTTAGCGGTCAGTTTCTCATCCTTTAACACTCATACCTATTTCACGAAGATTTCACTTAAGCAACGTCGAGTGATGCAGTTAGTTTTGTTTGTAAGGTACAACATAAAAAGAGACAAGCTCGCCCGGTTCGTCCTACACGTGAAGAAGAGCTACAGGGACGTTCCATACCACAATTGGTTGCACGCATTCAACGTGGCTCAATGGGCTTACGCAGCCCTCATCAACTTCAAGCTTGTGGCACATGGATACCTAAAGTAAGTACATATATAGACTTTTGTTACTCTAAGACTACGTTATTATCATTGTGGTCAAGCACTGGCTTATAGTAATTAAAAAAAAGAAATGTAGTGAAAAAGAAGTGAAGGCGTAAGAGACGTCTGTGAGAAATAGGGAAATGTCTGAAATCCCATGGCTACCGATTGATAAGGGAAAAACCATCTTGTTCACGCCAGGCTTTAAGTAAGCTGGCGAGGGAAGCAGTGTCAAACCTGAGGCGTTTGGTCACCTTCCGATTAAGGCCAATCCTTCCTAGCAACATAACATTTAACTTGTATAATATATTAATACTGGTCTACCGTCTCGACAGTTTTTGAAAATACGAGTATAATAAGGCTTCTACTGTCATTTGAAATTATCCCAAATAGAATGCTATTTATGGGCAGCAACTACAGTGTACGCGCGCTCCTACAATATTATGTGCATCTACTTTCATAATGACACGCTTACTAGTGCTTAAGTGATAACTACACGACACGAATTATGATGCCAATTTGACCTTCATACTTTTAACGCGCTTGGGATCGTCATCTATATATATGACAGACACATCAGGAGATCTCTAAAACTATACACCCGATTGAATTGAAATTTAGTATAAGTACTTATTTCGCAATCTAGACGCTCACTAACAATGGATTATACCGATAGACCCATCAAAAAACAATCTTGATATTTTATATCAAGGTCCCGCAATAAAATATTGTCGGCCCCAGCGAAGCGAATGGGTATCAGCTAGTAATAAATAAAATAAAAAAAAATATTTTCGCATGTTAACGACGTAACCAATGGCTGTCATTATTCCATAATAATGACAGTCATTGGTTACGTGTCACATATTTAAAAAATTGGAATAAATGAAAAAAAAATGAAAAGTAAATTACGCAAGTACTCTCAATAACTAATTTATTGGTGTCTCGAAATGGAATCCGTTTCTCTATGTGCATAGTATTATATTAATACATAAAACAATGCCTCAGTGGTTTGCTCTTTATTTTTTTTGCATATTTATTACTTTTTTTTAAAAAATCTACTTTTATGTATATCTGTGATTTGGTTTATTTATTTTTAATCTTATTAATATAAAATATAGCTAATAGTACAGAAAGAGACAATAACTTTTACATTTTCCGAAAAAATTAACTTCCCCGCTATGAAATCTGTCAAATATTATACTTCACTTTTAAGTGGCACCGCCCTGGTGGCAGAAAAAGTTGTGGATGCCCTCATTAGTGTCGAGTCCGTGTTCGGTATTCAATCTCCAATTGATACCGATACCTTAGAGCAGGGGTTCCCAATTTTTTTTTGCCAAGGAACCCTAATTGATTATACTTTTCCTAGCGGAACCCTACCTTGATAAATGGAAATTTGCCTACCTTGAAAAAGGTATAAATGAAAAACAATTAAGTTTTTATGAAATTATTTTTGTACATTTACTGTGAATATGTAGGTAGGTACATAAAGTAATAAAACGTACAAAAAATTTCATTCGTCACATTAAATTCATAAAAACACGTTTGTGAATTTAATGTGACGAATGAATTTTTTTTACATATTTTCTTAAAATAGCATTAAAATTAGGCTTAATGTCCGACAGTTGAACGCGAAGATCTGGAGCTGCATCCAGTCTATTTCTGTACTTGCTTTTGGTGTAAGCATATGCGGAAAAACCAGTCTCGCATCGGTAAGTCGTCACAAACGGTAACAGTAATGTGATGGCTCTATTAACAATTTCTGGGTATTCATCTTTGAGTCCAATCCAAAAGGCGTTTAAATCAAAAGTTCCTTCTTCATACTTTTGTTTTAGCGTTGAAGAAAATTTGATGTTAATCAAATTCTCATACTCTGACACCGACAGCATCGAAGATTTGGTGTGATTTACAAACGGATTCTGCACCCAGTCCATGTCCTGCAACTGCTCCGGAAAATACTCATGCAAAGATTTTGTAAGGCTTGTCAAATGCTCATGTATATTCTTTTCCACGTCTGAAGATACCCGCAGCTCATTTTCTTTTAGAAAGTCATTTAATATTGTGAAACATTCGTAATTATGTTTTTCAACACATTCAATCCAGAACGCAAGCTTGTTTTTCAGTGGAGACATTTTATCATTTACTGTAAATTTTGTTGTAGCTCGTCCCTGTAATGCCTTGCAGATTACGTTGAGCTTATCGAATATATCAGCTAAATAAGCCAATTGCATCAACCATTGCTCATCATGCAGCAGTTCAACAAGCTTATTAACGTGTGCAGAAACTGGTTGTTTGGTAAAGAATATCTTAAGCTCGTCGTGCAATTCAAACAGCCTTAATAGAACTCTTCCTCTTGAAAGCCATCTTACTTCCGTGTGAAGAAGAAGTGATTGATGCTGACTTCCTATATCCTCACACACTTTTTTAAAAAGCCTCGACTGGAGTGGACGTGATTTAACGTAGTTTACAATTAGTACTGCTTGGTCGAGAACTGTCTTGAGCTCGTATTGCAATCTACTAATTAATTCATCTTGAATATGGTCAGAAATCTTATGAATTCGATCAGAAATGACGTTATTTGAACACTGCACTGCTGACACTTTCTTTGCTGCTTCTTCTCCAAGTACACAAGTGACAATTTCTGTCATACATGGTTTTATTAAATCCTCTGCAATCGTGTGTGGTTTACCAGCACGAGCGATTTTGTAACTTAGCAGAAATGATGCCTCTGTTGCATTTTCATTATCGGTCTTTACAAATTTTTGTATAGCAGCTGCACCAGTTCTACGCACTTCTTTGTGTCTTTCAAAAAAGCTGACGCTTTTATCTTTCAGTTCTGGGTGGTTCGTGTCAAGATGTCGTTTAAGCTTTGCAGGTACCAGTGAGCTATTACTTATTATTTTGTTGCAAATCACACATTGTCCATCCGAGTTCTCAGTCATTCCCACAGGAACAAATCCAAAGGACAAGTAGGATTCGTCGTATCTTCTCTTTTTTGAAGAAGTTTTCTCCTGGGTTGCAACTCTTTTGGTGATTGTATGTTGTATATTCAGTCCGGCACTAGGGTCTTGTGTATTTAGCAAACCCTGAAAAGAATTGACAAACAATGATAACCACCATAGCCATACGTATAATCGACAATAAATAAAATTAGTAAATTTAGTAAATAACTTGTATCACAGTAAATTACCCAAATAATTGTAAAAAAAACTTATGCATAACTTTCTTACCGACGATCCAGGAACATTTTCTGAAATATTTTCAATACACACTGCTGGTGGCTCTGAATTTAATGAAGAATCCGAAATCCTTTTGCCACTTGTGAGGCGCCCCGTTTTGAGCCAACTTTCCATTTTGAACTACCTACAATAAAAATAACACGTGAATATATCTCTCGTATTTTATTTCGAAAATGTGTCTACAAATAAACAAAAACATTGTGACTTACCAGTAAAAAAATTCCAGATCAATAGGTACCCAACAACAGGTATTTTTTCACTGCAGCTATTCACTAATTCAATAATTGAAATACGTGTGCTCTTATCGCGATCTAGACCGGTATAATCAGCCCCGCCGCGCCGTCGCGTCGCTGCAACACGGGCGCGCGGGGCGTGGGGGGCTGTGCGCGCCAGTGTCTCCATATACACGGTAATTACCGGTTTTTTAAAATTTTATTAGTAATTAATTAAAAGCAAACATATTTGGACTTGGTTTGGTTCATAATGTTGTATTTTTCTTAGAAAAGTTACACGGTAATTTACACGGTAAAGTTTTAGTAAATCCACCGTAATTTTATCAAGAAACACGGTATTTTTACCCTTGCAACACGGTAACTCTCGATTTACATATGGAGACATTGTGCGCGCTGTCACTATTTAGTAATCTGTGACGCTGTACTACTTCGCCCGCACGCCCTGCCCCTATCTCGTGCGTAAACAAGTCGGTGCGCGCGAGCGAACAACGTTGGTCACGAAACGTGTGATAATATTTTTTACGGAACCCTTGCGGCCTTTCCACGGAACCCCAGGGTTCCGCGGACCACCTTTCGGGAACCGCTGCCTTAGAGTATTCATAAGCAAGCCATATGTATACTTTAAGTTCGATTCCCACTCGGTATTTGGTATCGATACTTTCGATTGAACTTTATAGCATATTATATATTTTTTGATCTGAGATCCCCACTTAATCAAAAGTACAAGGACTCATTTACTTTCTGGGAGTTCGTCTGGGTAATGGGTAGATACTCTCTCTCGTCTCAATTTCTGTCGCCAAAAAACAATGCGTGTACTGTCGTGTTCCGATCTAAAGGGCATCATCATCATTATTATAACTATAACAAATATATAAAAAAATATATAACAAGTCCACTGCTGAACGTAGGCCTCCCCCAAGGAATGCCACAAAGTATGATCTTGAGTCACCTGCAGTCATCGACTTCCTGCATGTCTTACCAGGTCGTCACTCCATCATCTTCATAATCATATAGTGAGATAGTATAATTACAGGCAGTCTATCTTAGGCAAATAAAGTTGCAGTAACATATCGTCATCAATAACAAACATATTTTTGCCTGTACAGTGATCTGCAAGCGTTTATGTACTTAATAGCCTGTCTCGTACACGATATGGATCATCGTGGAACCACCAACAGATTCCAAATACAAGGGCGTAAGTAAATTTTTAACATGTTATAACCTAACCAGCATAGGCGTAGATAGTTAGAAAATCGGAAAAAATGTTCGGTTGCGGTGTCAGCGAAACGGAGCCATACTTTAGACTAGAAAACTATAACACCTGCTATATTATGGTTGTAGCACGAATGGGTCGGGGAAGGACCACGCTCTCACAGAAAACCTGCGTAAAATAGCAGCTTAACGCTGCTGTGTTTCGTATGGTGAGTGTAGAGAACCGGAGACCCTTTTTACTGGCAAAGAGACATTCCATCTTAGTCCTCACGGGTGACAACGCATCTGCATCTTGAGTCTTTATTGAGGATAGATGTAGATGTCTATGGGTCACAGTAACCACTTACCATCAGGTGGACTGTGTGCTCGTTTGTCACCCGATCCTATAAAAAAAACCACCACAATTTTTGTGCAGTTTCTGGACAGAAACATCCAATAAATAATTAGGCCCGACTCTGTAATCGAACTCGGGACTACATATTCACTGGTTCGCATATGACCATAAGACCCGAGGCAGTCAAAACGTAGCTGACAGCCTGCTAAGCGTAACGTGGATCGGTTGTACTATGTTATTTTTATTAGATATAACTGTAACCGAGTAGTGGCGGTGCCAGAATGACTATAATAACAATAAATAACAGAATAACTAGATACCCCATATCGTCTCGTGGCTGTCGTAAGAGGCGACAGAAGGAAACGCAACAGGAGATTTAAATAAAACTAATTTTACGGATTTTATCGCGTATATTAACTTATTTTATATTCCCGACGTTTGGACCACTTTACAGCACCCATAGTCATAGTCACGGGGGGGACTGAGGTGTATGACGTCCCAATGTCATAATTAACCACGGCTACCTCCAGATTAAAAATTATTATAGTTAATATACGCGATATAATCCGTAAAATTAGTTTTATTTAAATGTGTAGTGTTCGCGTAAATATAAGAAATCACAACAGGACATGGGCAGAAACGTCTTTCTAATAACAATTGAAAATGAAAGCTGCGGTTAACAACCCGCCTTCGAAGCGTGGCAACTATGGCAAATGTTCCTACTATGAGACAATGTGGCCTATGTTCAGGCCTTTTGCTAGGCTGTCACGCGAACAAGGGGAATACTGATTTGGCTAGTTTGTTGAATAGAGACGAGTCTCCAAGCGAAGAGAGAATTAGGATTTGGCTCGTTTGTTGAATAAAGATACGCGTCTTGTTTTTATAGAATACGGGAGACAAACGAGCACACAGTCCGTCTGATGGAGTGGATGCTGCGGCCCATAGACATCTACATTTATTCTCAGCTAAGAATCGAATTCCAGGTTTTTACGTGGTAGAGCCATGCTGTAGCTATATAAGTAGTATAGTTGTAGCACGAATGGGTCGGCTCAACCGGGGAAGGACCACGCTCAAAATACCAGCGTAAAATAGCAGCTTAACGCTGCTGTGTTTCGTATGGTGAGTGTAGAGAACCGGAGATACTTTTTACTGGAAAAGAGGCATTCCATCTTAGTCCTCACGGGTGACGACGCATCTGCATTTTGATTCTTTATTGAGAATAGATGTGGATGTCTATAGGTTACAGCAACCACTTACCATCAGGTGACCTGTGTGCTCGTTTGTCACCCTATCCTATAAAAAAGGTGCATTATCACCCCTGAGGACTAAGATGGATTGCCTCGTTTCCAGTAAAACGGGTCTCTACACTCACCATACGAAACCCAGTAGTATTAAGCTGTTGTTTTACGTCGGTATTCTGTGAGAGAGTGATCCAACCCCGGTCGAGCTGACACATTCGTGCTACAACGTGGAAAGTCTCCAAGCGAAGGGGGACTACAGATTTGACTCGTTTGTTGTATAGAGACAAGTTTGGCGGCTTTGTACAGCAGCGAGGGTAGCGTGATGGAGCGGCACCACCTGGCGCAGGCCATGTGCGTCCTCAACGCGCAGGGCTGCGACCTGCTGGCCGGCCTGCCGCGGTTGGAATACGACCGCGCCATTTTGTTGCTGCGCGACTACATCCTCGCGACCGACTTGTCCAACTATTTCAAGTTATTATTTCATCGTAATTAGATCATTAGAAAATAATAACAATATAACATATGATCTGTTTGAAATTTTTATCAGATTAATGTATGAGCTCGGGGGATTTAGAGCCTTATAAGGGAATAAGGTAGCTGACCGCGTAAGAGCGATGTAAAAATACCTTATCAATGTGAAAGTATAGGAAAGCTTCGAAGAATTGAAGTTTCATAAAGGTAATAGACGAAATAAGAGAAAGTCAGTGCCTAGAAATGGGGCACGTATAAGATATTACTTTTTTTATAGGAGAGGGGTCAAACGAGCATGCGGCTCACCTGATGGTAAGTAACTACCGCCGCCCATGAACAACTGCAACATCAGGGCAACCAGGGGAATTGCAGATGCGTTGCCGGCCTTTTAAAAAGGAGTAGGCTCTTTTACACTACTTTACAACAGCCTTCATTAATTCAAGGCTGTAAAATGCCCATTGCTACATAGGGCTCTCGCAAAGGGAGGAATTTTTGCCATATCTACCACGCTGCCTAGTTGAAAACCGCAATTTATTATTATTTAGAGCTGTTATCAGGGAGATAATGCTACGCGTCACCTGTTTCAGTTCTTCTCTTTCGCCTCTTACGATATTTACGGAATGATATGGGAAAGTGGATGTTCTAACAACTATGTTCTAACAATCTAGTAACAGACACAAGCTAGTAGTACCAGTTATTCGACTCCATGTAGTCAGTAATTCATTCTTAGGGCGATGTATACGCTTTTACAACAAAATTCCAGAAAATATACAAAATTTGACCTGCTCAAAGTTCAAAAACTTTATTAAACTAAGTTTGTATAAAAAGGGTTATTATAATATTAAATAATTTATAGATGATAATAACCCCTGGAAATGAGGTGATCGCTACCAAGCTATTTCTAATTTGTTTTGTTCAAAGATAAAACATCTTTTGTTTTGTTGTTAATTTGTGTAATACATGATTGTAAGCTGTTATTTAAAAAAAAGTCCCGCTGGGTTTTTTGCAGGTTCTTTCAAGGACAGAGGTTTTTTTTCGAACCAGTGGTAATTATACAAAAGAGTGACTTTCAATAAGTATTATTTATAATCTATATTGAATAAAAAAAGTTTCTGTTTCTGTTTCTGACGCCGCCACTAACCAGTACACGGCAGTTTAAATTAACCCCGGCTTTGCACGGGTGATTTTTGGATCTTGATAACAGCGCTACTTACCGGGTACTCTTGTGAATGTAAACCATCCAGGGACCTGCTCAAATGCGCACAAAAAATTTCATCAAAATTGGCCCAGCCATTAAGAAGAAGTCCAGTGATAGACACGCGTACAGAAGAATTATATGTATACTAGCTGGCCAGGCAGACGTTGATCTGCCCTTTTCGACGACTCTTCCTATAAAAAATGCGTTAATTCACAATAAAAAAATTTTGAGAGTCACTTAGCGGGATAAAAACTATCCTATTTCTCAAGTTGGGCCGAACTGCACAGAATGTGCAAATTTCATTGAAATCAGTTCAGTAGTTTAGGAGTTCATCGCGGACAAACAACGTGACACGTAATTTTTATATATAAAGATATAAAGCAGTTCTATGACGAAAGCATCTTTAATAAATGCTTCATTTTCATGAATTTCTGTTTTAAGCAATCTTGGCGAATACAAATTGATATCGTTGGACTATCAAAAAGGCAACCGACTGCACACGCAGGTCCTGCAGGCTTTGCTGATGAACGCGGCTGACCTTAGCGACCAGCTCAAAGACTGGACCACCATTAAAAAGACTGCTGTGAGTGTGGGCTCGTTTCCTAGAAATCGTTTAAAATGATTTGCTGATTTGTCATCTTCATCATCATGATCATAGTTTAATATTAAATAAAAACGTTACCCCCACACTTAAGATTTTCTTCAGTATCGCGGAGGCAGTTTACATACATAAATTTCACAAGGACAAACATTCAGACCCGGAACAACTTATTGCTAAATCCGTCTAGTTGTACATTTATATTTATTCACTAGTTTTTACCTGCGGCTTCGCCCGCGTGGCCTTCAATTTAGGAACATCATTAAATGCTGTTCCGTGCCAAATTTAGCAAAATTCGACCACTTTTAGAGTCACGTCGGTGTCTGTGACTGTGTCTCTATGTCTGTTTGTCAAACAATTTTTTGAATTCTCAAATACTATTGGACGTAGATGATTGATATTTGGCATAGATATAATATGCTATGGCAACACGTGAATAAATAAGTTTTTCAGAATTGTATTATTATTATCAACTAGCTGTTCCCCGCGACTTCGCCCGCGTGTTATTTATAACGATTGGATTTCTTGGGTTTTAATTTTTTGCGCGGAACCCTAATTCTTTTTCTAAATTAAAAGTAGCCTAAGTTCCTCCTTATAATATCAGCTATCTGCCACTGAAACTCTCGTCAAAGTCGGTTCAGCCGTTTCGGAGATTAGCCGGAAGAAACACAGACAGAAAGACAGACAAAAGTTTTAAAAATTGTGTTTTTGTTATAGGTACCGCATGTACTTTCATATGCATTTAGTAAAAAACTGTTATTTTGATATTACAAACAGACACCTCAATTTTATTTAATATATATGTACAGCTTTACGGTGCCGTGCCGGAACAAACAGAAAGAAATAATTTTAAATTTGTTTTATGTTATAAGTACATTTATACGCATTTAGCAATAAGCTGTTATTTTGATATTACACAAAGACACTTCAATTTTATTTATTTGTATAGGTAGGTATAAAGTACGGTAATGCAGTAGGTAGTTGACGGGATTAATATATTCTTAAAAATTTATTGTTTTAAAACCAGGCCGCAGTCTTGACAGAGTTTTTCAAGCAGGGCGACTTGGAGAAAAGCTTCGGAATACCGGCCCTTAGCATAATGGACCGCGAGAAGTGTTTCATCCCCGAACTAGAGAAAGAGTTCCTCGTGAGCTGCTGTGTGCCGCTGTTTGAGTAAGTCCAAATTAATTCAAGTGACATACCGTGTTTTACCCTCGCAAACTTGCAACACGGTAACTCTCGATTTACATATTTTTAAAAGTGGTAGAGCCATGCTGCAGCTATATTTCTTTTCTGGTAGAGTTGTAACACGAATGGGTCGGCTCGACCGGGGACGGACCACGCTCTCACAGAATACCAGCGTATAATAGCAGCTTAATGTTGCTGTGTTTCGTATGGTGAGTGTAGAGAACCGGAGACCCTTTTTATTAGGAGACTATTTTCATCTGCATTTTGATTCGCAAACGAGGATAGATGTAGATGTCTATGGGCCACAGCAACCACTTACCATCAGGTGGACTGTGTGCTCGTTTGTAACCTTTATCCTATAAAAAAAAAAACATATGGTGACACTGATACGCAGTAAGGTCATTATTATGTGGAATTCCGAAACGCACGGCGGCGTCTCGCATCATTTTAGTTTTTAAATTCGAAGATTTAATATTATTTAACATGTTTCAGTAATTCCTGGAAATTTTTAATGTTATCGTTCTCTGACCACTTCACAGACATAATAATATGAGTAATAATAATAATAAACTAGTACTACTCTATTATTATGTCTGTGGACCACTTCGTCATTGTTAAAACAATAGCGCAAATAGTGTTACCAGATGAAAAAATTAAAAGACCGGAGAAGAGGCCTGATTTCCATTTAAAAATCCTGAGATTGTTTTACAGTTTGAGAAGAAAACCTTACTTAAAAAGGTATCTTCACATATTAAGTATGATAAAACTGTTTAAGTACCTACTTGGATAAATAAGTTTTGATTTTAATTGTGGAATTATTACCAAAGAAAAATTATTTTTAGTTTGTTTAACTTTTTATTAAGAGATCTTTTAAAATGTAAGCTGTATTGAAAGTTCTAAAAATCCTGAGATTTCATGAGATTTGCAAAATCCAGCCGCAATCCTGAGAAGAGTCTAAAAATCCTGAAATCTCAGGACAAATCCTGAGATATGGTAACCCTAAGCGCAAACCAAAATTAACTATTAAAACGCTACCAAAATTATTCACCAACACTTGCATGTCGTGACGTGTCGGCTAGAGTGAGGGGAAAGCAAGGGTAGCGCGGGGCAGAGCTACTTGTCAAAGAATAGAGCAGGTTGCTTATCACTTGTTACCCTATTAATTTCACACTTATCACTTTTCACTCGTACTTGACATTGCCTGCTCACATGCACTAAGCACTTGTCATTTGTCAGTTCCACTTGCCACTTGCACTTGTCACTTCTCAAAATGTAAACCGGGCCTAAGGCCTAACCTTAGGCCCTGCTCTAGCCAACAAGTCACGCGACATACACGTGTTGTTGAATAACTTTGGTTGCGTTTTAATAGTTAATAGTTAATACAGAATAGTAAATAGAATAGTACGTAGTATATAATTTTACTTCAATGTAGTAACCCCTCAAGCGTTATGGCGCCCGTAGGGGGTTGACAGCTTATGCATGCCCGTGCGTTAGCCGACCCGGTGTGCCCATTTGGCAAGTAATCGCGATTCACTATCAAATTAGAAAGTAAGCGCTGTTTTTATCTTTGAACGAATGTAACGTTTTCAAAAGTTTTCGAATTGAACGTTTTCGATTTGTTTTAAACTGTTTTTGTATTGCCGCGTAAAAGGAGGTATAGATATTAAAAAGTTTGTTGTGTGAAAAAATGTATTAAGGGAGTGTGATTTTTTTAAAATCTCTTTTGATATAATGTTGTAATGTTATGCAAATAAAACAAACACCTTTTTATATAATGCCTTCATTTCATAATCCCTTTCTGTACAAGAAATCGGCAAAATTACGTCACACAATTTTGAAATGAGATTGACAATATTATAAAATAGAATTTAATATTTATAAAGTAGAATTAAATAGCTTAATTCATAACGTATCGATACGTATAAGTTTTAGGCATACAAAATTAAAAAATATATTGTTGTGTAACCTGTATCGCGCGACCTCCCGAACGGCCCCTGACGCTTGAAGCGTAAAAACATAAAATGGCGTAACACTAGAGGGTATGATACTTTTGATTTTCGCAGGATGCTTGGCAGAATCATTCCAAAAGCTCAGCCATGTTTAAAGGTAATTGAGAGCCACGTAGAGAAATGGGATGCGGCGACTTATGTGTTTTCGGAGGTACAAACTCAGATTATATCAACTAATTTTTCTTCTTTATCAGTAATATTGCACAGCTGGACTTTGTAGGAAATATATGACGTAATTGCCACGATTAGGTCACGTTATATTTTTTAAAACAGTTATTTAATTGAACTAGAAAGATAAGTACTTATATTTTATATTAAAGGTAGTTATAACTATAAGCTTATAAGTTATTTAACTATAACTAGTTTTTACGGATTTTATCGCGTATACTAACTTATTTTATTTTCCCGACATTTTGAGGACTGTACAGCACCCATGGTCACGGGAGGAACTGAGGTGTTTGACGTCCCAATGTCATAGTTAATCACGGCTAACTCTGTTCAGTATAAGTTCATACTGCGTAATTCGGAACAAAAATTAATATTTTTTATCTGGAGGTGGCCGTGATTAACTATGACGTTGGGCTGGGATATCAAACACCTCAGTACCCCGTGGCCCCATGGCTATGGTTGCTGTAGTCCTTGTAACGTCGGGAATATAAAATAATCTACGCGATCAAATCCGTAAAAACTAGTTTTAATTAAATGTGTAGTGTTCGCGTAAATATAGGAAATCATCTTGTAAGTTTTTCCTACGTTATAGTATATTGAGTTGCCAGTGCCCACCAAAATTTGAAAAGTAATGGCCATATCTGTTTAAACGGTTTAGTCTAGATGTGGAAATTCGATCGTAATTCATAAAATTTTGAGGTTTGCATAGTAAGCAAGCTGTATTTCTTAGTTGCGTGATTATACATAAACACGTACCATCCATGTGGCCACAGGCCATCTTAAGATTAGTTTATTGCATTTTTGAATTAATTAAAAGTATAACGTTATTTCCAGGTACCAGTAACAGCCGGGCTATCGGTTCTTCTAAGCCCAGAATTAGATAAACTAATCGAACAAAGCATGAAAGAGAGAGAACGGAAGCGTTTGGAGGTTGAAGGCGCGGCGAAAGAAACTTGAGCGCATTATATATTTTTTTTACTATAAATTTTGTCCTTATGATTTTAATTATATTGTTTTATTGACATATACGTTCTTACATTTCTTACAATTCACGAAGTCGACCGGACTTTACTCGTGGTTGAACTTGTACGTGCGTACGAACGTGAGTGATCAGTTGCAAGCGTGCCGTCGCTAACCATTCTCGCTTTTGGTCTCACGCACACTGACACGTTTACAGATATGTGTTACAACTAGTAAAGTCCGCTTGATTTAGAAGAACTCTAAATAAATAATTTATTGCATACACCAAAACGAAAATTAAGAGAGAGAGAGAGAGAGAGGCTTAGCTTTCCATTGACGTCCGTCGAGTTGGGGGTTGATATTTTTTTTACAGAAAGGTTACATTATTATAAGCATACACAAAGTTTCAACATGCGGAAACGCGTACTTTTTGAAATTTTTTTTTTATTGAAAATCAATTATTTTTGCAATATGTATGCCAATCCCCATTGACGTCCGACAAGTGGGGAGTTGCTATTTTTTTTTTTACAGAAAGGTTACATTATTATAAGCACACACGCAAACACAGCAGGCACGTGAATATCAACCCCTAACTCGACGGACGTCAATGGAAAGTCGTACCGAGAGAAATAAAATAATAAATGTTAAAGGGTAGTGGAATGAGCAGTGTTATCGCTAAAAGCAGACTTTTTCCAGACAACTTTTGGGTGAACAGGGTTGATATACGATAGAAATTACGAGGTAGAGTCAAGCTGCAGCTATTTTATTCTTTTAGCACGATGTCGGCTCGACCGGGGTGCATGACCATGAGAGCATGGTTCTGATCTCATTTCATACACCAGAAATAAAATAATAAATGTTAAAAGGTAGCAATGAGCGGTGTTATCGTTAGAAGCAGACTTCTTCCAGACTTTTGGATGAACAGGATTGTTGAACGACAGAAATTACGTGGTAAAGCTGTGGCTCTCAAATGTGTCGGCTCGACCTTGGTAGAACCACGCTCTCACAGAATACCAGTGTAAAATAGCAGCTTAATGCAGCTGCTGTCTGTCAGCTGATGTAAATATCTATGGGCCACAGCATCCACTTACCATCAGGTGGACTGTGTGCCCGTTTCCCACCTTTATTCTATAAAATAAAATAAATAAATCTAAGTGTATCGGTGATACGCTGATATATTTACATCGTGCTAAATCTCTTTCTCTTTTTTGCATTCTTTACAAACATTTTTTTATCTATCACCATAGTCATATTTATCTATAACATTTTTGCTATCACCAGTTTATCAGATCTCTGTACGATAACATAATATAACTAAAGTTGCATTGTTACACTTACAAAGAAAACAACAATAGAACATTTTTATTTTTTAATAAAACAAAACATAAGAAAAAGTTTTACTTGCACGAATTGCAATTATCACATACAGGTGCATAACTCACTTTAGTCATTATCACTATTACACGGGGGTGGTCACATACATTATATTGTTTGTCTCATAATATGTTATTTTTATAGTATTTTTTTTTAATGAAATGCATAAAATTACAATACAAAAGTAATAGAAATTACACAGACAAACTATATAATATTTTTTAAGCCCGTCTTAAATAAAATGAGTAAATTATTTATTTAAAATAATCCTACATTAACAAGGAATAATTTTGAATGCTTGGCATCGTGAAATTAAGTAAACACAAATATAAACATAAATTAACATTCCACAGAATAAAAATATCAAAAACATATTATGTTTTCTTCTGTTTCTTTTGTCGATGTTTCCAAAAAGAATACTTACTAATAATTGTAATAAAAATTGGTATAAAAAAGTAAAGAAGTATTAAGTTATAAATTCAGGAACGATATGTAGTGTGAAATAGTGTGAAATTATATTTTTCCTTTTTCATTTTTAAAGCAAGTTACAATTGTAAGTAAAATGTTTTACACTCTGCAGTATAAAATAATTTTAGTTTAATTCGAGTTTATGGCGGGAACTTGATCGGCGGTGGATTGCTGCTCCTGTATTATTGTTTAAATAATATTTTGAAATGGATTTTGATATGTAAATATGGTGCGATTTTGTGTATTAAATGTCTGTGGTATTAGTGGAAACGGTGAAACAAGTGCTCCAATAGTGATGTGAATCTCAATGTAATGGGCTGCGCAATGTGACACATCTACATATTGTGAAGCAGTGTACTAAAAAGGATTATTATCAATTGATACTGAGATAAATGAAGACATAGCTTAAAGGACAAGTATCCAAGTCAAAAATCTCAATAAAAAATGTTTTAATTCTATAAAATAATTGACATTTTATATCAATAGAAGCGTTTTCACAGTAAAACGTTTACTAATTTAACTATTAAATTATATTTTCATATTTAACTAAGTACTTAAGCGAGTTATTAACTACGATTGCGGAAAAAATATTTGTATACTATACGATTGTATGAACCATTTCGATATTTGGTAATAAGCAAAGTTAGTTGATATTTTATATTGAAAGAAATATTTTTTTTTCAAATTGAAATAAACATTTACTAAGTTTAATATTTTTAAGAAACATAGATTATCTATTTAAATAATGTGAAATAATCGTATAAATGAGATTTGTAACTGTAACAATAATTGTCATTTAAAAAAAAATATTTTTAAGTATAATGGAATCAACCAATAAGACCATTTTCTTTTGGCTGCAGTAACTCTTCAATAAACTCCTGGACCATTGTTTTGAGTTTCTTCCTCATTTCTTCTTGCTCCCTGAAAAAAAAAATTGATTTTTATAATATTTAAAAATTGATTTTTATTATTTAAAAATATTTTGAAGTGAAAGCTTCTTTAGAATCGTTGTAATTTGAAATCAGTTGAAACGAAAAAACGTCACTAAAAAGAGATAAACATATTATACATCCATTGTATTTAGCCTGCGAAAGAATGAGATAGAATACAGTATAAAGTGTTTCCTTTTATGTGTGTAGATTATGCATGTGATCTATGAGCAGTACGTAGCAGTACGTTACGATGATGAAATTAAAAACTTGTCTTTGAAATTAAAAATTAAAAGTCTGTGTAATATGTAATGTAATATATGTACAATAAAAGGTTAAATATTTTTTTAAACTTTGTAACAATATTATAATGAATAAACCCTACAATTATCCTATTCTTGATACTTTGCATTCGTCTCATTCTCTCAAAGTTTAGTTTTCTGAAGGATTCACTTCTACTGCGTATGAACCGCACGCATGTTATTGGAACGAAGTTCCTTATCGGACGGTACGGGTTTGGCGGTTGGGAGCTAGGCGACAAAAAGTGTAAGATTTTTTCGTCACGACTCTTTGTGTCCTAGTGTAGACAGCCTTGGCGGCGAAATAAGGAAGTGAGATAGAATAACATCCATCTCCCTCGCACTTTTTCTTATCTTGCCATGAAAGAAAAATTATTTTATTTCAAATGACGCTTCATTTTAATAAGACGCTAGTAATTCATTTATTTGTATTTGTTAATCAATAATACAATACCTACGTTTATCAATACATAATAATATACTACGCAAGCAACTTCGTTCCAACCGAGTGTTCCACGACACTCACGCATTTTTTTATCTAAAAGATATTAAGGTATATAGGTATATAATAAAACTAATAAATTATTTTACACAAACTCCATTGCATAAGAGCACTACGTACAGCAATCAACAGCTTAGAACTTTTGCATATGAAGAGAGGGATGCACGAAGGGAAAAAGCCAAAGAGGCAATTTTCTGAGGCAATTAATGTGTTTACAAAAATTTCAAATTTGAGATCTGCGTTGAAAGATCAACGGCCCGTACGTGTGTGCGTGCGTGTCACAAGGTGTTATTAATAAAATGGTAGTTAATAGACATGCCAATTAAAATATATTTTGTAATCTGTGCAAATTATCATGAGATGATAGATTCTACGCTGTCACGACACAGCAAACTTGTTATTGTATTATAAATTATATTTTTGATATGTATTTTTTTTTTTATAAAAATTACGTGACGAGTGACAGTCCACCGGATGGTAAGTGGCTACTGTAGTTCATGGACACCAGCGACCAACTTCAATTACAGAAGACTACAGATGGATGGAGAGGAATAAGATGGAATGCCTCGCAGCCTGTAATTCATCAGCTCGGAATTGCACTTGAATCCAGTTGGAGTTTAAAAAAAATATTATCTTAAAGTGGTGCCGCCCTGGTGGTAGAAAAAGTCATGGATGCCCTCATTCTTAAAATAACATTCATTCATCATTACAGAATACCATAAGTCAACTGTTAAACCTTAAAAAACTCCAACTGGATTCAAGTGCAATTCCGAGCTGATGGATTACAGGCTGTGCATATTTGACAGATTTCATTTCGGGGAAGTTAATTTATTGGAAAAATGTAAAGGTCAATGTTTCTTTCTGTACTATTACTAATATTTTATATTAATTAAATTAAAACTAAATAAACCAAACCACAGATATTAATAAAAGTAGAAAAAATAAAAGTGTTACAAATGTGCAAAAAATTAAAAGAACAAACAACTGAGGCATTGTTTTGTGTATTAATATAATACTCTAAAAAATGATAAACTTTTATTTAAAATTAACTTCTCAATTAAATGACATTGCTATCAGCAATAAGACCACCCATTGCATACTTATTTTATATATATAATTTCTGTAATTTATGTATGGTGTGCAATAAAGAAAATTAAATAAATAAATAAAGAAAAACTTCACCTCAGTGTCAACTAGCGACATCTGGTGAGCGAAAGATTATTAGCCCTCATTATCATAACAGTATTAGTGATAAGGATGAACTCACTAAAGATGATTTGATTGTAATTATAGAGTTAGGTATCCCATTATTTCATTATTTAATGAAATATATATTAAATATTATATCTATATATGCAACTTGCTGCATTCGACTCAGTGAACCGCAGAGCCAAGAGGATTACCGGCGGCAAAAAGCTGGTGGAAACTTCGCAGCTTAACTTACCGCCACCAAATTGCTTGTTTGTCGGTCTTCTACAGACTACTTCGGAGAGTGTGCCTATAAGCTTCATAAGCTCATACCGCCATCTCCATTCTAATATCGGAGTACCAGACGTACTACAAGTTACCATCTACAATTGGTTGACATTTCGAACATTCGCACTAAGCGCTATAAGTAATCTTTTATAATGCACATAGCCAAGGAGTGGAATGACCCGCCAGCGTCTGTTTTTCTGGATGCGTCTAACCAGAACCTCTTCAAGGTACGCGTGAACAGGCTTCTCCTAGGCAAACTAGCTACATCTTAGACCTGATCTTTGCCAGATGGAGGTCAAGTGTGAGCCCATTACTAATTTTAAAAAAAACTAACTGTTCTGTGGGTGCGTCGCAGACCAGCTCGGTGTAGAACTTGAGCTTGGGCTCGGTGCCGCTGGTCCTCACGGTGACGCTCATGCCGTTGTCGCAGCGGAAGGCAATCATCTCACCGCTCCTGTACTCCTGGTCCAGACCAGTGCCGATTGCAGCTGCAAGTCAAAACAACCATTCACAACCAGTCTCCAAACGTGGCAGTATTGCCCGATTAATTTTCGCCAGTGAGATTTTTTTTAGGAAAATAGAGGAATACGTTTTTATCATAGACATTGAGAGAATAGACTGTGCGTTCCGTATTCAGTTGTGCAAGGAATACAGACCGAAAAGTGCGAGAGAGATAAAGCGAATGTGCGGCCAGTAGTAGTCTCTTTCTAGAATTCTGATTGGTCCACATCACTGGTTTGCAGAACGTGGACCAATCAGGCTAGTAGGAAAGAGACAGGTATTGGCCGCACAGTCGCTTTGTCTCTTTCTAGAGAATGGTCACAAAAGTGACCATTCTCTAACGCTCTGTCCATTCTCTATGTCTATGGTTTTTATGGACATAAAGACGCCCGAATATCGTCTTAATAATTTCACCATAGATTATCTAACCCGCCTGCGGACTTATACTTACTCAGGTGCGCCTCTCCGTTAGCCTTTTCTGGTATTTTAACGCCTTCTGAAAAGTCGTTTAGCTGTACTATTTCTGTGGAGCCTATTTTCTTCGGATACTGAAAAAAAAAACCATGGAACTATTAAAATACATAACAAGCATAGAAATATATTTTTAATTTTCCTGTTTCTGTTTGGTTCATTGATATTTTAATAATATGTTTATTATTATATATATAATAGTTTTTACAGCACAAAAATAGAATTTTTTTATGTAATATTGAGCAGCAACACTTATTAAGTAATTTTTTACTTTTACAACTAGTTCGAATCCGCAATTTATTGCTTCTTTGTCTGGTAGTATCGGCGTTTTGCCTTTTGGCGGTAGATGAAAGGAATTTCCGTAAGTCACATTATGCTCGTTTTGGCGTTTGCAGAATTAAGACATTTCGGGGAATTACCACAAATAATTTAACTATTACAGTCTATCAAAAGTCATTGGCTGAACATAATATGTTAAGAGCCATAGTTACCACGATTGTGTTGAATTGTTATCAGGAAGATGTTACTGAACTTGTTTCATTGAACTCTGTCTGATTTTTTAATATAGGATAAGGATGACAAAAGAGCACAGTCCATATCATGGTAAGTATATGCCCCATAGACGTCTAGATGCGTTGCCATCCCTAAGGACTAAGATAGAAAGCCTCGTTTTCAGTAAAAAGAGCCTCCGGTTCTCTACACTCACCATACGAAGCACAGCAGAATTAAGATGTTACTTTACGCTGGTATTCTGTGAGAGCATGGTCTGAAACCGGTAGAGCCGCCCCATTCGTACTACAACCGTAATATAGCTGCAAGAAGGCTCTACCACTTAAAAAAATATCTACGTTTCTCTTACGCCGCCAGTGCACGGCACCAAGTACCTGTGCTTCATATCAAATACTATCCATCCCTTCCATTACAGCCTATAAAAGTCTACTGCTTAACATAGGCCTCTCCCATAGATTACCTCATAAGCAGGATGGCAGGAACAATGCAAACCTCCAGACGCTTAACGATTATTTGTAGACCATATAAGTAGCGGCATGAAAGTCTAGCGGTGACCGTTATTGCGCATAAATCACGCGATTGGCTTATTGCGCATAAGTCGCGCTGATTGGCTCGTACGGATCGTTCGCACACGCTGATTGGCTCTCCAGTCGCATTCGCGCAATTCAATTCGTGCGCGTCCCCTCCAAGTTTTGTTCAGCACTAGATTTTCGTGCAGCGACTTGTACAAACACTTGTTCCGTGCATTATTCTAACCCGCAACCAGGCACTTATCCGCGGAGCGACCGAGCTGTGAAACCCTACACAACGCACTTCTTACTATAGGTTTTCTCATTGAAGTCAATTTAAGGTTAAAATAAACTTAAACAAAGAAAATTATTATTAAGAGGCAAAGTACTCACCACACCGGATTCATGGTAATTCCTGATCCTCCTGAATATTCTCTGTATGGTGGCAGGATCGTGGCACATGTAGTAGGAGTTGTAGGACACATGGTAGCCGTACTGACGGTAAAGAGCCTGCAAGTGAGCCGACAGCGACGAGCCCTGCGAGTACAGGTGCGAAGCTAGCGATGCTACCTGCGAAATTGAACTTATATTTTATAAACATTGTACATTCGAACCTGGATAAGCGTGCATTCACGCGATCTCTTTTTCGCTTATGGAAGTTTCTCAACTAGTCAGAGTTTCTAGCTTATAGAGGTACAGGAGTAGCTTTTCTCACCTATAGAGGTTTATAAAAAATATAGCAAATGTGTGATAAACATACATATGTATTGTATCGGCATTATTCATTAAAATTTACAAAGATGCTTACAAGAAGAAACATTTTCCGCAGTCAAACGCATTTTATAATTTAGAGACAACACTTTGATTTTTCGTTTTAACATTATGAGTACGTGCCGAACTTTTCTTCGCAATTGATACTGTACTGTTGTTAAGTTCGGTATCAACTGTAGTAAGTTCGAAAAATAAATCGGTACACACGGACATTTGAACAACACGACTCATAAACAATGTTACTTAGTTCCTTGATATTTAAGGAAACAAAAACTTACGTTTTATTCACGAAATTTAAGAATGATTCATAAATATCAGACGTTAAATACGCTCAGCTGGCGATCGTAGAGGTACGGGCAAGTAGCAGTCTGTTATAGAGATCCTTAAGTGTTCAAAAATTAGCGCTGTTATAGTTTTAAATCATGATTACTTGAGTTAAATTTACACCTATAGCCGGGCCTATATTACTCTTGCTACCTGCACGACGCAAATATCTACAATCACGCGGAACGTAGTCAGGGCTAGCGCGTTTTAGGCGAGCGACTTTTAACACTGTTTGGCGTTTTTTTAAACACTGTTTATATAGATAAGATTTTTCGTAAATATGTATTGTATAAATTTTTTTGTTTATTGTTTAGTACATTTAGTTGTGACGATACGAATTACTTGGGTTTGTAATTATATTACCCAATAGGTAGACAGTAGTGTGTAGTATCTATATTTGATGTTATTGCTGTGTCTATCGCTACGACAAAGAATTAGGTACACAAAGATAGGAAGTACTCAGAAAAGTCATCATTAGTTGTTTAATATGACGGACCTCGCGACAAATCGACCCTTTTTAAAACGGTTTTTATTTTTATCGTCGTGACTCACTTTCTGTTTGTTGGGGTTTTTTCTCATTTATTCCTTTTTAACCAACTCCAAATAGAAGGAGGTACTTAATTCGACTGTTTTTTTGTGTGTACCTCATTTTTTTCTTAAATTGTCGATTATAATTTTTATATCCGTCTTGAGTTTTATCAAAATTTTTAATTTTGCTTTTTATTATTTCTATATATAAGATATAAATAATTACTTGCACAGCAGCTGAGACGCCATCTTTATCGGGAATTTTTGCACTACACATATATCCGATGGCTTCTTCAAACGCGAACAGCGTCTTTTTGTCTTGCTGAGAAAGTATAAGTGTAGTGTTGCCTGTAACAAAAAGACATTAAATTAGTAAAATTTTAATATTCTCAGGGTACAATGATAAACGCCGTGTTTTTTGGGAGTTTCACGCGTCCACAGGTGGCGGATTGGGGAACTTTCACCAGAGTGGTAAAATTAATTTCAGTAAGAAATATTCATGACCTATATTGAATAAAAATATTATATTCTAATATATTCTATTTAATACTTTGGCTCATCATCAATACCACTGGTGGATACTTTGTTACCACGCCACTGCAGACAGTGCCTGATTTAGGATTCCAACAGTTCTAGGCTAACTATGAATATGCCCCCCCCCCCCCCCCACACACCGACCGATTCTGTGTGTGCCTGCCCACCCCTTTACTAGATTTTTATATTTTTCTAGCTTTCCAATACGCGGTATCGCCCACATTAAATAAAATTCTCCTGACAATAAATGTCGATCATCGCCCATGAACAACTGCAACACCAAGGAAATTGCGGGTGTGTTGCTTCCCTTTTTAAAATGAGTAAGCTCGTTTCTTGAAGTTGTATCGGTCCGAAAAATTGGCCGGTTGATGATTCCACAAAGAAGTCTTCCGAGGAAGAAAACTCCTAGTCAATTGATTTTTATTTACGGTAAACGCGCAAACCTGTTCCTTTTGAAGTTTAAACCATCGGATCAAACTTGACTCTTGTCTAGATTCAAGTTTGTTCCGATAACCAGTGACGTATTTCAGAGATATTTTTTTATAGAATAAGGGTGACAAACGAGCACACAGTCCACCTGATAGTAAGTGGATGCAGTGGCCCATAGACATCTACATTTAGCCTCGATTAAGAATCAAAATACAGATGCGTTGTCACCCCCGAGGACTAATATGGAGTGCCTCGTTTCCAGTAAAAATGGTCTGCGGTTCTCTAGACTCACCATACGAAACACAGCAGCATTAAGGTGCTATTTTACGCTGGTATTCTGTGAGAGCGTGGTCCCACCCCGATCGAGCCGACCCACTCGTGTTACAACCATAATATAGCTGCAGCATGGCTCTACCACGTAATTAGCACAACCGGTGTAAAAAGCATCAATTACAACCAGTAACAGCAACATATAATTGATATAAGCAACATTATAGGTGATAGCACGCAGCCTTGTGGAACACTGGAGTCAACAGGCTCGTAGTCGAAGTATACACAGTCTATATACGACCTTGACGCTCCAATTTACAAGAAAACTGATGATCCAACTGCACAATTTCTCGGGAATCCCATAGGAAGGAAATTTCTAAAGAAGCAATTTGTGCCAAAGCCCATCGAAGGCCTTCGCTATGTCCACAGTAACGACCGAGGACTCTATTGCTTCCGCTCCTTTATGAGTCAGGTAAATTAGAAGAACTAGAACCAACTCTTTAGTGAATGCATTGATGGTCACTAATCAGTGTGCAGCTAGCAGTTTATAAAGGATTCCATTATTTTGGAGAACCAGGAGGCGATGGTGATAAGCCTGTAGTTGGACGGGTATAGGTAGCCGCCTTTTTAGGAATCAAGTGTACTAAAGCTGTCTTCTGTAAGTTCAGAATTACGACCAGGGAGTGTACCGGAAAAGACGCGTAAGAACCGGTGTTAACTCCGGAGCACCCGTCTTCAGCACAATAGGAGGGACTCCATCACGCCCACTAAACTTACCATCTTTGGACGTCAGTCTAGGGAAAAGAGTGCTTTGCACACTGAGCGCTGTGTAAACTACGCATCCAGCATGCAGCCGTGGGATGGTCGGCAGTGTGTGCCCCCTGTCATCGAGTCATCGAGAGTCAAGTTAGACTAAAGGATTCTAGAATCTAAAAGATCGACTGTCTCCTTTGTGGCATGGGCCAGTGAGTCGTTTTCCATGTGCAGAGATTGAAAAGATAGCTGAGAGAAGTTCCCTTGGACAGCCTTGGCAGAACACCTTAATAAAATTAGAGGTAGAAAAGAGAGCTTGAGCAGTTTAAAATCTTTGAACAAAAACTTCCAGTCAGTCAACAAAAGACTAAAGGTACTAAATAATACAGTCTTATTTTTACAATATATTTATTTGTTTTGTACCAAAAAATAAATAAAAAGCACCAAGTAAAATACTTGAGACACTTACTCTATTACGAGTATTTATTGAAAATGTTATAGCAAATTTTATTGTGTACATAAGTGGTGCTTGCAAAGGCAAGCTCAGCGCAACCTTGAACCTTGCGTCCTAGGCTCGAGCCTAGTTAGCCTGTGGGTAAATCAGGCCCTAACTGCAGAGCTTCTTTGATGTACTTGAAGGCGAGGTCTGTGCAGTAATGAGCAGAGATTTAAAAAGTTCCAAAAATAACCGCCAAATATCGGTTTTATTTAGCTGTAACCGCAACTGAAACCTAAATAAGAACCGTTAGGCACCTTTAGGTTTTCTTCTTAGGAATGGAAATCGGTCCATTTTCTGTTTCTCACTGGATTCATTTAGCGCTCCCTTCGCTGCTGCATGCAATTTGTCTAACTTGACATTCGAAGGAGAAAAAGTTACTTTAGTGAAACGTTTTTGCAATAAAGAATCTAAATAAAAATGTAACCGATGAAGAATCTAATTCAATAACATGCTCTTCATATTATCGATGATTTTTATAGTTATGGTTATTACTTAAAAAATACGAGAATTCAAACGAATTCTTTTCCCGCGAATTATATATATATATATATATATTTAATTTCGATTAATGTAAAGTAATTAAAATATACATTCCATTAAGAATTTAATTGGGTATTTCATTGTATGCGCATAGTTATTTTCCCGAGCACACTATTTCGGTTACCGTTACAGCCTATTAAAGTCAAGTGCTGAAAATAGGCTTCCTTCATAGATTTCTTAGATTTTTTTAGAATACATGCCATAGTTGTCACGATTGGCAAGCGGGATGGCAACCAAAGTTTTATTTTTATTTTTAGTCGCCACTTTTTACGTGGTAGAGCCAAGCTGCAGCTATATTTATAATATACTCGTAGTTGTAGCATGAATGATTCGGCTCGACCGGGGAAGGACCACGATCTCACAGAATACCAGCGTAAAATAGCAGCTTAATGCTGCTGTGTTTCGTATGGTGAGTGTAGAGAACCGGAGACCCTTTTTACTGGAAAAGAGGCATTCCATCTTAGTCCTCAAGGCTGACAACGCATCTGCATTTTGATTCGCAAACGAGGATAGATGTAGATGTCTATGGGCCACAGCAACCACTTACCATCAGGTGGACTGTGTGCTCGTTTGTCACACTATTTCTATATAAAAAAAATCTCCTGATTTGTTTCTCTCTGTGAGCTCTTACGACTCCTACGGGATGACATTGGGTAGTGAATATTATACACGCCACAACACGGTACTATTTCAAGAAGTATCAATTATCTAGGGTCAAAATCGTGTCTAAAATACGATATTTTGTCCAACTTGGTCTTAATCTTAAACAACAGTTTCTAGTTTCTACAAACTTACCCATCCATTTGAAGCCCGTGAGCGTCTCTACAAAGTAGCCGTGTCCGTCAATGATCGCCTTAAGCATCTTGGAGCTGACGAAGCTAGCCAGCATGTACACGTCCGTATCAGAACTCTGCTTTTGATGCTGATGCAGCATCCACCAGCCTAACAACGCACCCATTTCGTTGCCAGTAAACACTTTCCAGGACTTCTTGCTAGAATCAGAAAGGAAAATTAGCTTTAATAAAATTTAGCATCTGTTTTTTGCGGTAACTGCCTAAATGCACTATTATATTAGTCTTTTGCACTAAGGAGCTTCTGATTGAAAAACCTGACTGATTGCACTAAACAGTATGTCTATTACAAAGCAATAACCAGGAAATATACGTTATCAACATTGATAAACTTAAGTCCTAAACGGGTTTTTTTTATAAATAGCTAAATTATAGAATTCTACTTCGTTACTATGTCAAATGATTACTAAAAAATAATAATTTTAGTCTCTAATTTCAACATAATCTAGCAGCAGTTTTAAAATGTAAAACTGTATGTAATTGGTCTTTCGAGCCGGATACACATATAATGAACTATTAACAAATTCAATAGTAACATTGATAAAAATAAAGTAACGTATATGGATACGTACCAGTGCTGAGCACGGGCCTTCATTCATTTACTAGAAGGATTTTGGAGCAACGAAGAATTGGTCGCGCTGCCTTAATTCATTTTGGCTGACTGGTCTTATAAATATTTTTCAAGTTGTTTCACATTGTAATCTAGTTTGCATTTAACAATTTTTTACTTTTTGTAATTGTGTGAGTAATTGTTTACTCGCATATAACGAAATTTTAAGTAAGCTTTTACTTTTATCCCCTGAGCTACCATGGCGCTACCGTAATAAAACTTTGAGACCATATGTTAGTGTAATTTAAAAAAAAAGTTTTTTTTTATTATTTCAGTTTTATAGCAAAAGTGACTGCAACATAATTCACTGTATTGTGTATCCATATATTGTATATTATAATATACAATATGTAAAAAACACATTCCGATCCGTGAGGGTACTTTTAGATATCGTGATACGATTCTGTTCACGCATTACTTTTAAGAGAATAAATGAAAAGATCCCCAAATAAATAGAATTAAAAGAAGAAACTTACTTACTTTTTTATTGGTTACGTTATTACGGTACCTATGTGCCTCTTTTTTATTTTACACGGATTTTTTTACATATTGTGTATGTGCTAGATTTAGGTATATGTTAATAATTTAGATTTTAGACGAACACTAGTGTTGCCCAAAATCGGTCTTGGTCTTGCAGTCTTGGTCTTGTTCTTGCATTTTTGCAAGAACAAGACCAAGAACAAGACCGCCTCTTTTTAGCAAGACCAAGACCAAGACTGACCGTGCAAGATTTGCGCAAGAACAAGACTAAGCTTGCGAGACTCTTGCGTCTTGCAGTTAGGACTAAGTGTCGTTTCAGGGAGTATAGGAGTTCGGGTATACGCTTAGGGACTCTATGAGACGCAAAAAATATAATTAAAAAAAATTGGAAAATTGGACTTATGCGCATTACGAACAATACCATAAATATACATAGTAACAAAAACATAAACACTCACGCCTGTCACCCAGAGGGGTAGGCAGAGACTACGGACTTCCATTTGGCGCGATCCTGACACACCTCTCTCGCCTCTTTCACATCCATATATCTACGCATACACGCTCGTCGGTTAAGGGTACTCCTAATCTGGCCCATTTTCAATGTATCGCCGATCTGGTCGATAAACCTTCGTCTAGGGCGTCCCTTCCCGACCCTGCCGTTCACTTCTGCAACATAAATTTGCTTTGTCACTCTTTCCTCGTTCATTCTTTCTACGTGACCAAACCACCGAAGCATTCCTTTCTTAATCCTTGTCACAACGTCATCTTGCAAACCACACTTTTCTCTTATTACACTATTTCTCACCCTGTCATTCAGATTCAGCCCTAGCATACTCCTTAAGGAACGCATTTCTACAGCATTTATTCTACTCTCATGCTTCTTCTGCCAGACCCAACTTTCACTACCATACATTAAAGTCGGTACTAACACAGCATTATGAATTGCCATACGTGCCTTAGTTGACACATTCTGACTCCTCATAATAGCGTGTAGAGCCCCATTCACTCTATTTCCTGCGTTCACTCGTCGTTCTATATCCTTATCATATCTACCATCCCTGCTAAATAAACATCCCAAATATACAAACTCATCCACTTGCTCAATCAACTCCCCTTCTATTCTTATTTTACATAAAGTTTTACTTTCTTCTCTTTCAAAAACCATCACTTTCGTCTTACTTGCGTTCACTTTCATACCCCTTTCTTTCAATGAACAATTCATTAAAGTAACCATCATTTGCAACTCGGCCGCCGACGATGCAAATATGACTTGATCATCGGCGTACAAAAGGCATTTGACGGTTGACTCACCCATTCTCAACCCACATTCTTCAACTTTCAAAGTTTGCAAACAACTGTCCATAAATAGGTTAAACAGCCACGGGGAAGCCACACATCCCTGTCTGACACCTTTATGAATGCCAAACCAGTCCGAGTAGACCCCGTTGATCCTGACACAAGCACTAGAGTCCCTATAAAGAGACCTTAATGCCTGTATCAAGCCAGCGCTCAACCCAAATGAGTTCAGTGTTTGCCATAACACGTTCCTGTCCACTCTGTCATAAGCCTTTTCCAAGTCTAAGAACGCACAAAAAACTTTCTGGTTTTTAGCCAAAAACTTCTCCGCTATCATGCGCATGGAAAAGACTTGATCCGTACACCCCATCCCCTTTCTAAATCCAGCTTGCACATCCCAAATTTTTCCATCAGTTTCTTCCATAACTCTTTCAATTAACACCTTAGCATACAGTTTACCCACAATGCTAAGCAAGCTGATACCACGGTAGTTTTTACAGTCCTGCTGCGACCCCTTTCCCTTATATATTGGGACTATAACGGCTTTGCACCAGTCTTCCGGTACCCGTTTCAGTTCCCAACATAAATTAAACAAGGTGTGCAGCAGGCCTGCAACCACACCCTCACCAGCCCTTAGCATTTCGAGTGATACTCTATCATATCCGGCTGCCTTACCTGCTTTCATGCTTTTCATTGCTTTCATTATTTCATCTACACTTATCTCCCTACCTCTCTCCACTTCTTCCGGAATTTCTATTTCACTTATTTCAGACGACTCTTCACTCTTAAACACGCTTTCAAAGTATTCCTTCCATCTCTTTAAATTCGAAACTTCATCATTCAGCATGCAGCCTATATATATATACATAGCGAATGAAAATATCCATTAAAGAGAAAAGAGTGCATCCCTAGTTTTGAACATCGGCACTTTGATGGTGCGCGGCGTCTTGTTGTCGGCGTCATCAAAGGTCGGATACTGACCTGTCAAAGAAATTGTGCAACTATTCGAAAGTACAAGGTCAAGATACACGTGCCGGCGGCTACTATTGATATCGCATACAATCGTCGCCGCCGCGCCACACGCACTACATTTGACACTGTTTGATTGCCGCCACAGAGTACATGTTTCAAAGAATAAAATAAGTTTCCGGGTGCTCAGAATGGACACGAATACATTATCCTGATCTCGCAAGAAATCTTGTAATTAGATAATAGGTAGGTATCATAATAATTTATTCTAGTAAGTAATTATTATAAAATTAACTATATGGATTTATAATAATTACTTACTATTATTGTTATTATTATTACCTAAAAGATAAACATGTTCAGAAAGTTCACTGCAAATCTCGACTTTTGCAAGTGTGTGTTTTTAAAACACAAAGTGCTCTAATATGTCGTCACACATTTGATAAATATGGTTGACACCATAGCACTTTTAAAACACTTGAAATGTGTAAAAATGGTTCTGGATCTTGTCTTCAAGGCTTAGTTATTAAGGAGTTGGAGGGGTACCTAGGTAAACCCAGAGCCGTCATCTCGGAAGACATTTTAGACTGTTGGAGGACGCATGAGACAAAATATCCGATTTTATCGAAGATGGCCCGTGATTTTCTTTTAATACCTGCAACTTCAGTTCCTGCTGAGAGATTATTTTCTAAAGCATCATTAGTAATTAGAAAACATAGAAATAGGTTAAGTGTTAAGTTACTTTGTATTAATGCTTTGTCAAAAGAATAAATATAAAGTAACAGTAATGTCAAAGCTGTTGTGTACATACTATGAAGTAATTTAATTTGCATCGTATTTAATTTTTTATTTAAATAAATGGTATATTGTATAACTCTTTTATTCCATTTCATATTATATGGTGAGGGTCCATCAATCTCTTTCTAGAGAGATAATGTTATTTAAAATACAGTGTAGTTATTGCCATTAATTTGTTTTTATATGTATGTTTAACCATGTTTTAGCACATGTAAGATTATTAAATGTAAACGTTTATTAAGAAACTGACGCCCGTGGCCGTGGGACACGGTAGATAGCTCAGTTGGTTAGAGCATCGGCACGGATCGCTTAGGTCGTGGGTTCAAACCCCACCCGGTGTCAGTTGATTTTTCGAATTTCTCATTAAATGTTTAGATATTTATTAATATGGTTGGTCTTTACTATGGCTATGTTAATTCAAGCTCAATATGTACCTACTCTGTTAAGTTGTTCTAAGATCTAAAGAAACGTTTAATAAATAGTAATAGGCTAATAGGTCATTGCGAGACTTGCGAGACTCTTGCTGCAAGACCAAGACCAAGACCAAGACTGGGAGCGCAATACCAAGACCAAGACCAGGTGTATTGGCGCAAGACCAAGACCAAGACTTGCTAAGTCTCGTCTTGTTCTTGCATTTGGGCAACACTAACGAACACCAAATCGTATATTTTAAATTAAAACAATTTTGTCTACGCACCTTACATCATACTCGGCAACTGCAAGCCTGTCAGCATCCGGATCATTGACCAGTACCAGACTGATGTCATTCTCTTCTGCCAACTTCTTGCTGAGTTCCAAACATTCCTTTTCTTCAGGGTTCGGAAATTTCACTGTCGGGAACTCTGGATCCGGTTCTTGTTGTTCGGGGACACTTAGGGGTTCCTTATAAAGTTTGATAGAATATAAAATGAATTAACTACGTAATTAAATTTTTCCATCCTGCACGATAATATTAGCAGAAAAATAGTATCTTTGTTCTTATGGATGATCGCGGTACGACCTTTTCGACTAAATACTACATATTTAATTTTTATAGCCTGACTTTATAGGATATTGATGACAAAAGACCACATAGTCCACCTAATGGTAAGTAGATGCTTTAAGTTGTCCATAGACATTTATATCTTCGAATAAGAATCAACCTCTGTGGAATAAAATGGAATGTCCCGTTATTAGTAAAAATGGTCTCTGGTTCTCTACACTCACTGTTGGTATTCTGTACTGTTCACGTATTCTAAAATTCTAAAAGTAGTTATTACCATTTTAGCGCTAATTTACTTCACGGAAAAGAAATATATAATAAGAAAATTTTAAAAATACAAGCGGAAAGGAGCGAAGTTATACAATTATATTTCAAACGACTGATGGACTTGTGTGAGTGGGGTTGGAAAGTGAATATTAGTATTGTTATTTTATATATAACTAGCATTTTTCAGGTCAAGCTAGCTGAAAAAATAAACCTAGAACCCGATTGCAGCGCCGCCTACCAGGTAAAATCTATATCTATACATCTATACCAGGGATGTTGCGGATATTCAAATACGCATCCGCATAAATCAATGCGGATCTTCGATACGGATGCAGATGCGGAGCAAGTCACGACACGATCATAAAGTGAGAATGCACACGCTGGTGACAAGATCCAACATTTATACATAATACAACATTTGTTTTATTTAATCGCGGTAATTCAGGAAGTGTCACTTACAATGTTCGTTTCCTCTGTTCGACTAAGTTTATTGAGTGTTCCATAAATATTTCGTCGTATAAATTATATATTTGAATAAGTGAATAAAAATGTCTTATTGGTTGATGTAATGCCTTATTTTAAATAAGACGAAAGTGATCGGAAAAATCTTCTTAAATCGATGCACCCAGAAGAATTTAGTTTGTTCGAAAGCTCGAATAACGAAATACAGTTGAAGAATAAAAAAAGATGATACAGGTAAATTGGAATTTTTATCTAGTTTTATAAGTTTAAAAACTTACAATTGGACTCGATGAAAAGCAATTTTCAACTACAGGCACACTTTCTAAAAATTAATCAAATGGGAACACGAGTTTACTGTCCCCTAACTTTTATATTTTGTATTTATTTATATAATTCAGTGTTAATTTAAAAAAGAAAGACGTTCAATGTGATATTATTATTTATTTTATGACTATTTTACACACGATTTATTTGATTTATTTACTTCAAATCGGTATTTTTAAGCAATTTAAAATACAAAAAAATATATAAAATTGAGAACCTCCTCCTTTCGGTTAACTGCCGTTTTCATAATAGTTTTTGATGTTGAGTTTGATTGTAGTTTTTTTTTTCATGTTTGTACTATCGTTTATAAATTAATATACAGATAATTTTAATGAGTTGCAGCGCTAAGGGCCGCGGGTTCGAATCCCGCACGGAGCTAGTATTTATATGGCCTACAAATAATTGTTCCGGGTCTGGGTGTTGTCGATCTTGCCTTGACATTAGACGTTAATTTTCACTCATCGAGTGAAGATGAAGGTCAAGAAGAAACATCTGACAACCCGCATGCTCTTTTAAAGAAAGAATTAGTAATGTATCGGCAGAAAAATGACTGGATGTGGATCAAAATCCACTGAGCTGGTGGAAAGTAAATAGAGGAGAATCGAAAACTCTTTCTGGGTGTGCACGCAAGTACTTATCACCTCCACCGTCCAGCGTTCCCAGTGAACAGTTATTTAGTTGCGCTGGGCTAATCTACGATCCACTAAGAAACCGGCTGGAGGCTGATAAAGCTGCGATATTTACTTTTCATTCAATATGACGCACCAATTCTTTATTTTGATTATAATTTTTTTTAATGTAAGTTAAAACATTTTTCTTAATAAGTAAAAATTATTGTCTAGTAGTTTTTCCCAAAAAAAAAACTTGAAGTTTTTGTTTGCGATCTCTAGAAATCCGCATCCGCAACAACCCTGATCTATACATCTATATCTACACAAATAAAAAAAATTGGAGTGTCTGTTTGTAATGTCAAAATAACAGCTTTTCACTAAATGCATATGAAAGTTTATACGGTACTTATAACAAAAACACAATTTTTAAATTTTTTGTCTGTCTTTCTGTGTGTTCCTGCTAATCTTCGAAACGGCTGTACTTAGGACTTTCACTGGCAGATAGCTGATGTTATAAGAAGTAACTTAGGCTACTATTATTTAAGAAAAATAATTGGGATTAAAAAAATAAAAACCTAAATTACACGCGGGCGAAGTCGCGGGGAACTGTTAGTTGTGAATATAAACCATCCAAGCACCCATTCAAACACACACAAATATTCCATCAAAAGCGGTCCAGTCGTTTAGGAGGAGTTCAGTCACACACACACGGACAGAAGCATTATATATTCTTTTTTTAGGATAAGGGTGACAAACGAGCACACAGTCCACCTGATGGTAAGTGGTTGCTGCGGTCCATAGACATCTACATCTATCTTCGATTACGAATCAAAATGCAGATGCGTTGTCACCCGTGGGGACTAATATGGAATGCCTCGTTTCCAGTAATTTTACCTTGGTATTCCGTGAGAACTTAGTCCTTCCCCGGTGGAGCTGACCCATTCGTGCTACAACTATACTACTAATAGCTGTAGCATGGCTCTACCACGTATATAAAGATAATGAGTTACTTATTAACCACATAGAATTAAACTTACTTTCAAATTAGCAGCCTCGAACGCCTTCACCACGTACTCATATCCGACCCCATGCATCGCACTGTACACGCTGCGCACGCCCGCCTCCTTATTCACTTTCCGCACATCCTCATGCAAGCTCTCCCGGATGAACTCGTTGTATTTGTCGATAACTTCCGCTGTACAGTCTTTTACCAACTCGTTGTTTCTAATTCCGTCTATATTCCAGTAATCATCCGGTATGCTGCAGTAATAAATTGTTTGTTACTAATTTTAAAGACCAGGATAATAAGTGTTTAAGATTGGTCCTTCGAGACTAAGCCCTGGTACACAGTACGAGCCTAGCGCGGTTGCGACGACGGGCGCGAAGTATTAAACATAATGAAACCGCTGTTTGCGTCCATAGTGTAGTGGCTAAGACTAGCGCGACGGGCATGAGCGAGACAGCGCGCGTAGTTTTCAAACGTTCCTAAACGCGCGTTATGACCCCACTACGGGCCTAGTGAGCAAGCGACCCAATGCGCGGGTGGCGGGAGTCAATCAAACCAGTTCGATCTTATCGCTCGGCATAAGCGCGTCTTCAATTTTTATTCGATGATTTAAGGTGATATTTTACTCCTGATATATAATCTAATGTTGACGCGGACATTCGACTGTACTTAAAGAATTTTATAGAGTACAATCTCAATTCTTCATAGAAAGTAAAAAATTCACCATTTATTTCTCTGTTTTTATTTATTTCGTGCACACCCTCCTTTATGTTAAACATCTCCCATCACAGGATCGAACTGTCTAGTAAAGATCGCCATGGTTTGCAACACCTGAAATACCGTCAAAGCACTCCAACATAACTCGTCACTGTGGCCAGTGCACGCCCCCGCCGTCGCGCCCGCAACAGGCCCTAGTCGCCGCGCATTCACTGTGGACGCACACTTAGTAATATACACCTGAATTTTTATTTATAACTGCCAAGAGCTCTTCAAAGTAATGATGCTATATTACGATAAATTAAGTCATACGGAAGGAATTAAATTAAATTATAAGTTCCTGTACATTACAGCGAAACTCTTACATGTGTACAGATAACATTAAATATTATACGAACATTAGTTAATTATGTCATCAAAAAAAAAAAAACCAAATCTCATTTTCTACTTTTAATTCGTAGGTAAGATACTCACTCCAAACAATGCCAAATCTCATCCAAGATGTTGTCGTCATGAGGTGTAATAACTTGCGATCCATTGCTCCAGTAAACTTTATAGCCGTTATCCTCTTTTGGGTTATGCGACGCTGTCACCATAACTCCACCAGCGGCCCCGTACATTATAGTGGCGAACGAAACAAATGGAGTGGGGCAAACTCTCGAGAACAGATGTACTGGTATCGATGCTGATACGAAGACTTTTGCTGTTAATTCGGCAAACCTAAGTAATGAAACGTTTTTATATAAGTGAATGAATATATGCTAAGAAACTGTAGTACATACCTATGTCACACCTTTAACACTACACCGGTATGGATATTTGCAATTAAATTTAGCCAACGGAATGATTTATGCTCTAGAGAGGTATTTTATGAACCAGTGATAAAGAACAACAATTCTAAGGGACGTTCGTAAAAACTCATGACCTCCGCCTCAGATTAATAGCGGTATAACTATCTCGTATATATGTCAGATGTGAAATAGCCAGACCGACGACAGGACAGAGGGACAATCTCAAAATTGCCTGGCGTCCGCCTTATAAGCGCATTTAAATTTTAAGCCTTGATCGCGTTATTTACAAAGAATAATACGAATTTATTGAAATTGTTTATTTTGTTATTAAATATGTCGATATTTTTACTATTATTAATCAATAAGGCATTGTACAAACGACACGTTATTACTAGAGGATTATGATATGACGTATTATTTATGATTACAGCAATTCCTCCTTTAAATTGGAGAGACCTCTCTCGAATAGTGGAATCTTCCCCTTAACTAATAAAAGAGAGAGAAAATACGATGAGTGCTGATATATTAAGCGTAAAGAAATAAATGAGAAAAAATATCTTTCAGTATCTCATTATTTTTCATTCACTCCGTAAATGTGTGCGGATGGACAGGGGCCTATTCCGTCGAAAGAAATATCTGCCTTAGTCGACACACATAAGCAAAACGATTCGCGATCACAGTATCGGCCGTCTCGCATCTTTGATGGTGCTGCTTGTTGCTGGATTTTATATTTTACATCTAGCAACTAAATGTCTAAAAATCTAGTAAACTAAATGGTTACACCGCCATCTATTGCAAGGTATGATTTACTGACTTTACCCATCGTCGATACGACACCCACGGGACAAAATAGTGGTGATTGATTCTCTTACCCCGCTAACCATATGGCAAAAAATAATATGTATTAAGTAAGGGTGACAAACGGGGACACAGTTCACTTGATGGTAAATGTAAACTGTGGTCCTAAGGCCTTAGGACTACAGTGTACACTTGTAATACATTTTTTTTAATAAGAGAGGGGGCAAACGAGCATGCGGCTCACCTGATGGTAAGTGACTACCACCGCCCATGAAGAACCGCAACACCAGGGGCATTGCAGATGCGTTGCCGGCCTTTTAAAAAGGAGTAGGCTCTTCTTGAAGGTCCCTAATTCGTATCGGTCCGGAAAAATCGCTGGTGGTAATCGATTCCACAAGGAAGTTGTGCGAGGAAGAAAACATCTTCTAAATCGCACAGTGGTGGACCGCCAATCATCCAGATGTTGTGGATGGTATCGGGAGTTCTGCCGCGATGTGCGTTCGTGAAATTTGGCGGCTGGGATTAATCCGAACAATTCCTCAGAGCTCTCCCCATGGTAAATGCGAAAGAAAATGCAAAGAGATGCAACATCTCTTCGCAGTGCCAATGAGTCGAGCCGATCGGAAAGGACTCGGTCGTCAACGATTCGAGCCGCTCTGCGCTGGATGCGGTCAAGTGGAAGGAGCTGGCACTGGGGAGCCCCAGCCCAGAGATGGGAACAGTATTCCATGTGAGGCCGAACCTGCGCCTTGTCAAGTTTCAGGCGTTGAGCTGGCATGAAATACTGTCCCGCTCTGCTGAGCACGCCAAGCTTCATACATACAATGTAGATACATTCCATCCACGATTAAGAATCCGAATGGTGCATTTTCACCCCTAAAGTCTAAGCTGGAATACCTTGTTTCCGGTAAAAAATCTCTGGCTCTCTAAACTCACCATACGAAACAAAGCATAATCTGCTATTTTACGTTGGTATTCTGTGAGAGCATAGTCCTTCCCCGGTCGAGCCGACTCATTATATACTCCTATAAAAGAGCGCATTTTTTTTATATAGGATAGGGTGATAAACGAGCACACAGTCCACCTGATGGTAAGTGGTTACTGTGACCCATAGACATCTACATCTATCCGCAATAAAGACTCAAGATGCAGATGCGTTGTCACCCGTGAGGACTAAGATGGAATGCCTCTTTGCCAGTAAAGAGGGTCTCCGGTTCTATACACTCACCATACGAAACACAGCAGCTTTAAGCTGCTATTTTACGCTGGTTTTCTGTGAGAGCGTGGTCCTTCCCCGGTCGATTAAATATACAACCGTAATATAGGTGAATCGTGGCTCTACCAGTCTACCACGATAAACGTATATATCGAAAAATATATTAAAAACTATCACAACGTTATCGATACGTTTGGTTATTGAGTTATCGAACCAAATGACCTCCGCTAACTTACTATAAATGAGCGAGTTACAAAGTCTAATAGTTAAAAAAAAACTGATAACATATCACTAAATATTTCAAGCATTTATCTCAGTATGAAAATTGTATTAAATTATAGCCGTAGTAGCTCAGGGTAAGCAGTCGTCGTAAACAAACAGCACGCGAGGTCCCCGGGTTCGAAACCGCCGACACCAATGAAATTGTTAAATGCAATTTTAAGCACTGATTTGCTACGTGCATGGTGGTGCTTCGTTTGGAAGCAGCATGTCTGAGGAATAAAAGGTCAAAGGGGAACAAAATTTCGAGGATATGTGAAGTCCGAGAACACGTGGTACGTAACACGTTGAACGTGGTAGAGCCACGATGCAGCTATATTATGGTTGAAGCACGAATGGGTCGTCTCGACCGGGGAAGGGCCACGTTCTCACAGAATTCCACCGTAGCGAGTGTTTAACATTAGTATAATGGCAGTTCTTCACGTTGGCCAACATTATGGCGAATGTGTTGGCAAAGATATTAGCCAAGAGTTTGTGATGGCGTCCACAAGTTAGAAGGTCGTTCAGTTTGCTTCGGTTCAGGCCAATGTGCGGACGAATTTATTAAAATATATATTGCGGCACTAACGGCTGCAGCGGTTTATTTATTCACAGCATACCGCTACTACGTGAATGTGTAGGAAAGAAAAGGGTGATTAAAATGAAATGGAAAAAAAGATATTTTATTCTGTTCCACAAACAATTTTAAACTTGGTAGAGCTCTATAAAGCGAAAAGTTTCTTCATTGGTCATGTTATTGCCATTTTGTAGGCATTAGTTACGATGCGTGAATATAAAACTTAGATCAGGTGCGTGAGATCACTATGGGAGGTCGTGGCAAACTAAACGTGCGGCCAACGTGTGGACGCAGCGGCCAATACTCTGCCACAACCCTTTGATCGTTTGTAAAAACCGACACCACACGGATCTCGCGTCAACTTGTATGACATCATTCCAACGATGAAGCTAATACAAAGGGGAGACGGCATAAGCAACTGTGCACTGTGATTCTAAGTAGGTCCTGACGTCATCATAGTGGGCGTGGCTTTAGTTAGTATACTGTCAGCATTCGTCCTGTGCGCTTATGTGTTGAAAAAATCGCAAATCTGTGTATTTTCATAGTATTAAGAAGAAAAGGATGAAGTGTTAAAAGTAAAATATACTTTATTGTACACCAAGGAACATATCACAGTATTTATATATTTAAAAGGACATTGGTACAACAGGCGGCCTTATCGCTAAAACAGCGATCTCTTCCAGGCAACCTTAGGGCAGAGGATACTGTTTTTAAAAGATAGCGGAAGGGGTGTACAGAATATAATATAGAAAGATAAATAGAAGAACATAAGTTATTAATGGAAAAAAAGTGAATGACGATAGGTAGTAACTTAAGAGGAAAGATAATAATGTTTTAATTTATTTTTAAATATAGGAAGAGATTTAGATTCTTTAATATGTAATGTGTTCCATAGTCGTATAGCGGTAACTGTAAAAGAATTAGAATAGAAGGAAGAGGAATGTCTAGGAGTACTTAGAAGGAGATTATTTTGAGATCGTAGAGTTAAAGAGTGTAAACTACTTAAATATATAAATCGGTCTTTCAAATAAGAAGGAGTGGTCGGATTGAACAGAATGCAGTAAAGAAGATGAAGAATGTGAGTATTCCTGCGAAGGCGAATCGGTAACCACTTGAGCTTATGGCAGAATTCGGATATGTGGTCATACTTTCGTAACCCAAATATAAACCTTATGCAATAATTTTGAAGCCGCTCAAGTTTATTAAGTTGCTCGACTGTTAGGTCAAGATAACAAGTGTCCGCGTAGTCAAGGATCGGTAAAAGAAGAGATTGAGCCAGCGCATGCGCGTAGGAATGGGGAGAACATTGCGTAATCTACGAAGTGAACCAACTGCGGCAAACATTTTTCTACTTATTTCACTCACTTGCGGTCCCCAAGACAAAGCTTGTAATAGCAACTTGTATGCCATCATTACATTAGATAGCGAGTGAAGCACAAACACCCGCTCTACACAATGGCCATCGGTATTGGCCACAACGTACGCCACATTGTTGGCTAACGTGAAGAGCTGCCATAAAAACCGACACCACACGGATCTCGCGCCAACTTGTGCGCCATCATTCCAATACATACGTGAAGCACAAACACCCGCTCTACACGATGGCCATCGGTATTGGCCACAACGTTCACGACTATGTTGGCCAACGTGAAGAGCCGCCTTAATACATAAAGCGAGTAGGACGGAAAAAATATTTGTTTTATATAGTAGACTGATGTGCGTTAAGCACAGTGTAGTACAATAAACGTCTGATCTCACCTTTTGCTATTATGCCGCCCATCATAGCCGACTACTATACCATTGCGTAGCTGACTCTGTTGGCAAGTCTTTTGTAAGTACGAACGGAGACCCTGCAATCATCGCAAATAATAAAGTTATTTAGACTTTTGCTATACCATGGCCCAAAAGTTCACAACTGGACACCTCTCACTAGGACGATTTGACACGCTTGGCACATCTTTATAGAATAAGGTTGACAAACATTCTTAAAAAAAGAGCTTACTCCTTTCTTTTTACCGGCCGGCAATGCACCTGCATTCCCTTGGTGTTACAGTTGTTCATGGGCGGCGGTAGTCACTTACCATCAGGTGAGCTGTATGCTCGTTTGCCCCCTCTCCTATAAAAAAAAGTCCACCTGGTGGTAACCGGAATCTGTGGACTTTAGACATCTACATTCTATCCTTTATTGAAAATGAAAATGCAGATGTGTTGTTACCCCTGAGAAGTAAGATGAAATACCTTGTTTCCAGTTAAAAGGGTCTCCGGCTCTCTACCCTCACCATACTAAACACAGCAGCATTAAGTTGCTAATTTACGCTGGTATTCTGAGAGCGTAGAACTTCCCCGGTCGAGCCGACCCATTCGGGCTACAATGTAAAATTTCTTTACCTGAGCGGTCTGCAGTACAACGACATCGTTCATGCACTTGTAGCCGGCACCCATGGGCGCGCGCAGGCCGGCCGTGCCAAACTTCTGACGTTGCAGCATCGTCTCCTTTAGTTTCTCCCATCTTGAATTGGCAATATCGTCAAGAACCTCCTGACGGGTTGTGGGGTTCTGTAAAGGATCCAAATAACATATAATGTGAAATGCTTCTGTATTAGTCGACTTTAAATTAGGAGGATGTAATTCGACTATGTTATTTTTTGTATGTATGTTACGTGATAACTTCGTCAATTGTCAACCGATTGTAATGATTCTTTTTTTAACATAAAATAAATGTGTCTTCCACACTAATAGGACTGTCATCTGTATCCTTTTCAGTTGATTTTTTTGTTTAAGGGATCACAACGCTTGTGAACGCTACGATGCTTCACTTTGGTAGACGTTGGTTTATTTTGAAAAAGCCAAACCGTCGACTGGCGCTTCGTTTCCGGATCTTATTTACATATAAATCCAAAATACATATCCTGTAGTAATGTCGTAAACATGCCCAGACGGGCCTACTTCAAATTTAGTAATCATGTTACGGCACCAATCCATGCGGGTGGGTGAAGTGGTTATGCAGCAGCCGACGCGAAACTATCCAACTCAATCGGTATTCGCATAAATTGCGTGAACACCTCCCGATTCAATTTGCAACATGTGCTGAATCTTTTCAAACCTAATTCGCCTATCTTATGAAAGTTTCCTTCCGTAACAGCCGTCAGAGGCGACCACTTCTTTCTTCATCTCCCAAATTTAATCGACCGTGTTGAAATTAGTGGCCTTTATCCATAAATGCCATTTGAAGTTTACCAAATGATTCGTCCGATTTATTTCGACATTTCAAATCGTAAAAGAGTGTAGAAGGAAATTTGAAAATCGAACATTCGTATTTAGTTATACTTGTTAATAATCCTATTTTCAAAATAAATAGTAATTGGCTAGTGTCTCATACAAAAGCTATCTGCGTGACCTGTCGTATACAACATGCGAAAGTGCTAAGTTATTTTTAGAGTATGACTAAACACAACAATTTGTTAAACTAAATATCACGTTGTCTGACCATGTCCGCAAATGAACACCTGTTACATTATGTGACTATTTTGCTCTTAATGTAACAATTAGAAGATGCATGCTATATATATATATATATAATTCTGTCCCTGTGTGTGTGTAAAAGGCTGGACCGATTTTGATGAAATTTTATATGTGTGATTAAGTTGATTCGAGAATGGTTTAGATTTACAAAATTGGACCCGATACGTGCGCTGTTGTCCAGATTCAGTAATCATGCGTGCGATGTCGGGGCAGAATGCTAAAATTATATATAAAATCTATGTGCTTGTCGTAAATATTACAATACGCTAGCAACTCGGATTCGATTTCCGCCGACACCAATGAAATTGTTAATTTAATTGTAATGTGCTCGGCGGTGAAAAGAAACACCGTAAGGAAACTTGTGAGTCTGAGTAATATTTCGAGGACTGTTAAGTCTGATAACACGCACTAAAACAACGCGAGTATTCGCTGTATCACTTCTGGGAGTAGTGATGCTGGGTTAAGTGGTGACGGGGATAGTGCTCGCAATTAAGGGAAGGCGGGAGGTACTCTTCAAACTAGGTAAGACTTATTATGGCAGATTTAAATTGTAAAGCAAAGTTTGATCCAAGAGCATTCTTCATAATTCTAAAGAAAGAATACTAAACTTTCTTAATAAAAGTTTGTATTTTTACGTTCAATAAAATTACTTTTAAAGCATTATCCATACTCATTCGGACGTACTCCGATGTTCGTTGCTAATTTTAAAAACTTTCGTTAAACACATTCCAGCTGTAAACTATATTTATTATATATTGGACTCCATATAACTTATTCGACATTTGTGATCTTATTAGAGTTTTATATAAAGTTAAAAATGTGGTGGGACGTTTAAACGAAGAACATGTCTGCATGAGAAATCCATAAAGCTGAAATGCTTTACTGGTTATGTGCGTTACGTGTTCATCAAAGTGTAGCTTAGAGTCAATCCTAGATCCTGATTCCAACGAAAAGCAGTTTAGTTTATAAGTGTATTTAATTATGTTAATTTTTTAATGAACGTGATATGTTTGCTTTTTGATGTGCATATGTGAAGTTTTTTTTTGACAGTAGTCTGTCAAGCGATTTAAGTCTTGTTGTATTTTATAACAGTATTCGACACTTTTGACACTGCGATAAATTTTAAGGTCATCTGCATAAAGGAGAAAGTTAGTAAAACGAAAACAATAACCGATATCGCTTACAAATAATATAAAATTCAAAGGCCCAAGAACAGATCCTTGCGGTACGCCTGAGCTTACATTTATGATATTAGATGAGGAACCATTAATCACAATCAGTTAAGATCTGTTTAAACATATGATGAAAACCACCTTAACAGATTTCCTCGTATCCCATTGAACACTAATTTCTTTAATAGTATGTTGTGATCAACCTTATCAAAGGCCTTGTATATCTTAATTCTAATTCTTATTTATTTTTTATTTTATTTAATAATTATAATTCTAATCTTGAAGTATTTCTATCGAATACACTTGAAGTAAATCTTATCAGTGTAAATTGCTACTACTTGTATTCATTATAATTATTTCTGTTAATTTGACAATACAGTGTTTTAAAATAGAATGTTGTTTATAAAATATGGTAAATATTTTTTTTGACTAACTAACAAACTGACGGTAGATAAAAAAAAATCAATGTACATGGAGAAGTAAGTAATAAAATATTTATTTAATATAACGCTTTTTAATAAATACCTTTAAATAACTTTTTCGAGAAAACAAACCAATGCAAATGAAAATAAAATACTCGTTTTAGCCTTGTACAAGTAGCAGTAAAAATTAAACGACCGGACAATTCTTCGATTTGAATTTTGATAAATCTTAGGTAGAACGAATGCTAAGAACAGAAGATGTATTGTTTGCACGCACCAAGATACTGCCGTACTTAATTCAAATGTATCTGAAACCATTCTTCATTCGCAGATATCCGAACCTCACGAAATAAAAAAAATCTTTTTAAAGTTAGATGCTCGTTAAAGTTTACCTTAGTTCCGGGCATTTGTAATTTGTCTTTTGTTAAACCTTTCTCTTTGCGAGCTGCTGAAATAAAACTATCAAGTAACATCCTATTCGTAAACTTAACAATGATATTCTTAGGGGACCCACTTTTAAGACTAAACTAGGACCCGCTTTTAGGTAAACGATGAATAGCGACGACATCGAATTTATTTATTAATTAGTTGTTTGACGACAGCAGCTGTTTTCTGTAATAGAAATTAAATTTTCATTTCGTTTTTCTGGAAGATTAACAATTTCAATATTGCACTGGCATGAGTTAAGTTCTCATATATCAAGCTTGTTTCCTACCTTCATAATCAGATCGTCTTTGCTTCGGAATGATTTATATATTTTTTCTAATTCAAATACATAACCACGAATCTCTTCAGTTTTTAAGTCGTCATATTTGTCATTAAAAAATTGGATTGAAGTCTTCAATTCCTCGAAATCTTCAATGAACTTAGTTATTTTATTATTTTGTTTGTCGAACAACTCCTTCATTGATGCTATTATTTTCTCTTGGAAAGACTGAAATTCACTACGTAGATCAAACACATTTTGATCATCTTCACCTTTACGGAACGTTACGTAGTCAGGCGATTCTTTTTCTATCAGAGAGCTGTCTATACTTATTTCACCATAAGATCCATTAGAATACCGGATAGGGTTATTTTGTTTGGTGCAAGTGTTATTGAGAGACATGACAATAATTAATAATGATTGTTATCTCTGTATATTTATTGCTCTGTGCAATAAGTAGCCGAAGCGTGCACACTATTCGTAACTGTATGTACACGATGAGTCACTAAGCGATGGGAACAAACACGGATGCACTGACAGACACACGTCTGGGTTGTAGAAGAGCGCGTAACAATATTCAACGTCTACATTAATGTGTTTATTGTTACTTTAGTATCACTATCACTTGCTTATTGAACTTATCTTGCGACGTCGTATGAGTGTAATACATAGGCTGCACTAAAAGTATCGGTAATGGAATATTTCCACTGTTCCTGTCATATCAAAATCTTTTTAATTGAGAACTCCTTGGTTTTAAAAATCGAATACCATTTATAAAGATTCCAACGTTTTCTCGCATGAAATCGTATCTAGCAACCATATCATACATATACGAGGGGTGATCCAAAAGTAATGATAATGAAAATAAAACACGGTAATTAAAGTTAAAATAATAATTTATTTTTCTACATAGTCTCCTAACAAATCAATACATTTAGTCCATCTTTTTTCTAAACCCAGGATTCCCTTTAAAAAAATTCTTTGTCTTGACCCTCCCAAAACGCTTCAACAGCGGCCATTACTTCGTTATCGTCTTCGAATTTCTTACCTCGGAGGCGTTCCTTGAGCCGAGGAAAGAGGTAGAAATCACTAGGAGCTAGATCTGGCGAATAGGAAAGGTGTTCGAGCAGTTCGAATTCCGTTTCTTGAATGGCAGCCATCGCAACTGCGGCTTTGTGAGCCGGTGCGTTGTCTTGGTGAAACAGCACTTTTAATCTTCTTATTTGGTCTGCGTAGTAAGAGCCCGTAATAGTGGCTCCCTTTTCCAAATATTCCACCATAATTATGCCTTGAGCGTCCCAAAAACCAGATGCCATAACCTTTCCCGCCGAACTTGAAACTTTGAATTTCTTTGGCGTCGGTGAGGAGGCTCGCTTCCAAGTCATCGATTGTTGTTTCGTTTCAGGATCAAAATGGTGGATCCAGGTCTCGTCCATAGTCACAAAACGGAACAAAAAATTTTCTTGATCTGCTTGGAACTTTTCGAGATTGACCCTCGAAATGTCAACTCGATTTTTCTTTTGCCCGTCGGTTAACATTCTGGGTACCCAACGCGCAGAGACCTTTTCCATATGCAACTCGTTCGCAAGGATTCTTTGAACGCTGCCATATGAGATCCATGTGACCTCAGCTACATGCCTGATGGTCACTCTTCGATCTGCCAATACAACATCTTCGACTTTTTTCACGTTGTCTTAAGTGAGGGACGTGGACGGGCGTCCTTCGCGATGTTCA